CCTTGAAGGTCTGCTAGTCCATCCCCCTGCTCAAGCAGGAGACCTAATACCATTTCAGACAGGTGGCTGTCCAGTCTCTTCTTAAAAACCTCGAGTGATGGAGCAGTCACACCATGTGGGTGTGATGTGATGCGATGTGCTTAACAATTGCAATGATGCAATTGTGGCAAAAAGGCCGTATAATTGGACACAGCTTACTTAACAATGCCTTGTTTAGCAATGGAAATTGTGGTCCCAACTGTGGTTATAAATTGAGGACTACCGATACATGATATTTTTGTCAAAATCACTCTGCAAAGTCCATTCAAGAGAGAATGATGGGCTTGTCTGGGCATTGTCCCACTACCGCTGAAGTGAGCAGACTTCGGGATTCACGGGTTCATCCTGTTTTTATTAGGATGCACAAACTGAGATTAGGTGCAAAATGGCGCCTCTGCTTAGCAGAATGGAGGCCTGTTGTGGCTCAGACCAGGGATTGGCTTGAGGCTTGACTGAGCCAGAGGGCATCTGGCGAATTTCTCCCAGTGTTCCTGCCTGGGATTTTGTGTCTCCACTACAACTATGAATCAGTGCAACAGCCATGAAAACCTGCAAGGTATCCAGCAGATTAGTTAAGGTAGACCTCCGCTTATACAAGGCAAGTTGGATGCCTCTAATCAAATTATTCTCCTCCAGGTCTTTCCCACACTAAGTACTGGAAAATTATTTTTTGACTAAGCAAAACAAACAACCTGACACTTTGCTTTTTGTAGGATGTCCCAGGGCAGGTGCCCCTGAAGAGCTGCTAGATATTAAAAACATGTGTAAACAGACAGGAAAATAAGCAAACAATAATTAAAAATGCAGCTGGAAAAACTGAATGCCAATGGGGAATAGTACAGGTCTATGGAAGGCAGATTCTGGCATCCAGGAATCCAAATACATGTATGCATTTCACATCAATCTTTGCTAATAGCAAAAGAAAAATATAGTAAAGAAAAAGAATATATATATTCCTGTGCGAGCAAAGTCACGAAGCCGAAGATCCCAGACTGAAGATGACGAGTGGGACCTCGTTGAAACCTGCATACCTACCCATGAAAATCTACGAAAACACACACACACACACACACACACACACACTATAAACAATAACTTACCCCTTCATCACAACCATTAACTTATCATTCTCTCTTTTAAAATACAGCAAAGGGTCACTTCCCATATCTCTCATCTATATCCAAATCTTAAAAACTTATTATTCAATTCTAGTCAGCAAACGTTCCTTAAGGATTACCAGTGATAACAATTATTTTAACCTTGATAAGATAAACCAACTTTTTATTCCTTCTTTTTAACAATTTTGATCTTTAATCTCTTCAAATAATATCATAGAAATTGAATTGGGCAAGAGAAGAAGGGGAGGACAGAGAAGGAGGTGGCTGGATGGAGTCACTGAAGCAGGAGGCGTGAACTTAAATGGACTCCAGAAGATGGTAGAGGACAGGAAGGCCTGGAGGAAGATTGTCCAAGGGGTCGCGATGGGTCGGACACGACTACGCAATTAACAACAACTGTCTTAAAGTTGCTCCTTCTGGACATTACTTAGGTACAAACAAATTTGAGTCCAGCAGCTCTCAAAACACTACAATATTGTCAAGCAAGCAAATTTTCCAAAACAAATGCCAAACCTAGGAAATCCTCCCCCCCTTTTTTTCTTCTTCCCTGCTTCCATCCTTCCAAATCTTCCATCATTAGATATGAAAGATTGTTTAAAGATTATCTGGATTTTTGAGGGAGGCTGCTCTATTTAGTTCCACATTGGTTCCTCTTTATGCAAAATGCTGTTAATGGCAGTGTACAGTAGCCACCACCACCACGCTTTTCTGTTAAATGGCAAACACAAGAGGGTCTGAACGCCTATGGCAGAATGTGTCGGTATTATGGGTTGTTTAAACAGCAGCCAGAGGGACAGAGACTTGGAGGGCCTGGGCTGAGCTGAAAGTGAGGCAGCCTCATTTGGGAATTAGCTTGTTATTGCTATGCCAGCCCAAGCATGACTCTGTGACCTCCAACACAATGTAGCACCCTGCAATTAGAAGGTTGTTATTACTGTAAGGGTCGTTGAATAATCTTATGCAGGAGCTTTCCAGCAACTGTAGCTCCTCCTCCTCTTCCTCCTCCTTCCCCCCATTGCTGCCAACCTCTAATCACTTTTTGTGGCCTTTCCCCCCTCCACCTTCCCCTTCTTCCAGTCTCCTCTTTATAAAATCCCTTCTTTTGCTCCTATTCATCTCATCTACATTCTAATGACACACTTAACCACGCCAAAGTCAAGATAAGTATCTCGTAGCATGCTAGCACTGGGGCAGCAACCCAGAACTTGTTCTGACTGAAAATCAGGGTCTAAAGGATGGGTTCACCTATCCTCCATGGCCAGCTACGTTGCATGAATAGCAAAACCTACAAAAACTGTCTGCAGTAGAAATGATCGTTTTGACTGCACAAGCCAAGTCTTAAGAAGAAATGTGTGGAAAGCCAGAATTGAGAAGATAGCAGCAGACAGCAAGTGACATCTTTGAGAGAAGCTAAAAAAACAGTGGACCACCTGGTTAACTGCTGCAAGAAGATCGCAGAATCTGACTACAAACAATAACATGACAAAATAGCAACAATGGTGCATTGGAAGATATGCAAGAAATATTCGCCTGCAAACAAGAATTAGTGAGACCATAAAATAGACAAAGTCATAGAAAATGAAGAAGCTAAAGTGCTTCTTTACAATTTAAACAGACAAGAACAAGCCACACAACACTCCAGACTTAACAATTTTTGATAAAAAAAAGTTTGGATAGTGGACGTGGCGGTACCTGGAGAAAGCAGAATAAAAGAGAAGGAACTGGAGAAGATAACAAAATACAAAGACGTACAGATAGATGTAAAACAACCAGGGGGAAAGGTGAAATAGTACCAATAATAATAGGTGCCTTGGGTGCAATCCCAGAACATCTGGAGCACCACCTGAACACAATCAACATTGACAAAATCCCCACCAGTCAATTGCAAACGGCAGCTTGATTGGGAACAGTTTACATCCTGCAACGATACCTCTAAAACAGCATCAAACATCTGCCCATCCCAGGTCCTTGGGAAAGACTCCATTAACTGGATAAAAATAACAAAGCCAGTCTAATTTTCTGGCTGACTGTGCAATTAATCAACTCAAGTCAATAATCAGTCATTTTTAGTTTATCTTTTTTTGTTTTAAATAAACATGACATTGCCATATTTGTAACATACCTGGTATAAAGGGGAATAATCCAGGGAAGAGTCTGAGTTGCAAAAAAACACTGAGGTATTGACTCTTTGGCCATGAGATTTTTAAAAACTGTACATCTGAAGGAGAAATTGCACACTAGCCGAGGTGGAAAAAGTTTCAGCTTTTTTCCTTCTCTCTCAAAGTAGCAATTTCAGAGGAGTATTTGAAAGATCACTTCCCAAATCCCACTAGTTTACGAGATACACTAGGTTGAGGGAACATGGGGCTAGGCATTGTGGGATCACCAAGACGCTGCCATAAAGTGGGTTTTCCCGTTATCTCAGGGTTCTTTTGATTAAACTGGACCTTAATCTGACAACCAAATGATAAATTTTCAAGTCGATCACTTTAATTCTTAATCAGCAGTAATCCTATGGTAAGACAAGTTCAGAACTGAATTGTTGAGAGTTTTTTTCCCCCTGACAAGGTTAAAGTGGAAATGAACCTGCTCATATGACGATTTATCATCCCCACCTCCCAGCTACTGTTCGCACTGAGATCTCTTTTGTGCTCTCCTTTTCAAATTGCAATACAATCCAGGCCTTCCTTTTGGAGCTGGGATCATCAGGGAGACATTTTAATTATATTTACCCGTAGACAGATTGAATGGAAGACAAGAAAGAATGTTACCTACTCTTTTGAACTAGCAAGGAGGCAGGGATGTTTCTCTTGTGTAAAAGCTTGTGTCTATTGAAAGTTGTAGAGAAGTTGGGGAACCTCACCTCACCTCAGGGATGCTTAAAGGCTTATCACAATTGGACTATGTGAATTGTAGAACAACTGAAATGAAAGCTATCCTTCGATAGCTTGTAGTTGACTGTGTGAATTGCCTCCACAGAATGACCTTGCACTTGAAATAATGGAGAAAACTTGTTTCTGCCCTCTAAACGGCAGTGGATAGTCCTTTCGTGCAGAGAAGTCATTCTTTCTCCAGAGGCCATCTTCAAGATGTGGCTACTGGTTCTCGTCACAGCTCAAGGTTTCCACTCGTTCTCAGAAATAGTCCACTGCAGTGAGATCTTTAGGTTCAGCCTCTCACAAGGACACACAATGGGTTGGAGAATCTCAAAATAATGGCCAGTTTTGAAGGGACCTCATTTTTATCCCAGTAAGTTATTTATGATAAATAATCCTGAAGTCGATCCCTACAAAAATTAAACTCAAAGAATTGGAACTTTTAAAGGATTTGTGGGGGGGGGGTTAAATTTTTTGAGGGGGATTTTGGATAAAATTCATAACTTTATAGTCGATATGCAATTATGCTAATGCCAGAATTAGCCTGTTTGCATGCTTAGAGAGACCAAGTAATGTTTAGTGTTCAATCTTTTTATTTTCAGATAGCTCCTTAGGGAGGTGGAAATTAAGATTATTTATTTACATATTTATTATAAAAAGGGTTGTTATAGCAAATCTACGTGCATATTCCATGTGTTTGTACAGAGTTTTGTTATTGTTGCTGTTTTGGTACTTCCCAGTTAGCCTTCACTCCTGTTGATGGCTTGGACAAGTCCCTGCAATTTCCTTGGCAAATGGTTTGCCATTACCTGTCTTCTAGGGCTAGAAGAGAGTGGCTGGCTTAGGGACAGGAACTCACGGTTTTATAGTTCCATGCTTGATGCCTTAACCACTACACCAAACTGTCTCTCCTTAGTCCCTTGCAAATAACAGGCTCCTTTGAAAGAGGAAGAATTTTGACACTTCATTAAAATGAGAATTTTGTTCCTTTAATGGTGTTTTAATCTCCTCTGATTGCAAAGAAAATATTTGCCAATTTCCTGATTCTGCTTCTATTCCTTTTATATTTCTTCTCACATCTCATTTAAGTTCCCATTGTGATTTTTCATACATATATATATTTAGCACATAAAGAAATTCAGCTGTTACTCTTGAAGACATTGTGGCTTCTTTTAAGCTTTTTTTTTTAAAAAAATTAAAAGATACAAAATGTTTGAAGGTTTCTTTTGTAGAAATGTTTTATTTAAAATTTAAACAATGTTACCGCATACAGCAAAACTGTGCACTTGATATATCACAGTGTCTTAAAAAGGAAAATAATCATTTTTGTTTGTTTTAAAACTTTAAATAGTTCTTTTTTTGGAAATTCTATTTACATCTGCCTAGAATGATCTGCAAGTAACACAGTTACTATGAAACCAAAATTCTTACAAAATGTTTACAAAAAACTAAATTTATAGAAATTTCTGCATGTCCACAAAGGAATTTTCCCCTGAATGTCACAGAGACCAGTTCTGTGGCTGTTGTTAGGAAATCAGTCCAGAGAGAGAGTGAGAGGGTGAAAGGGCAGTTCACTTGCCACCCCCAAAGTCACTGCAAACAGACTCTTTTTCTGCAATGATATTGTTCAAGAGCCAAAGAAACCCTACAAAGGATAAAGAATGAGTCTCATGGTTGTGTTTGAGCATGTGCGCTTTTGCAACTGGCTTGTACAGCGACTTTTGTGGTAGACCGACAGCTCAATGCCCAAAGCCAAAGTCTTCTCCCAGCCAAGATGTTGAAGGTGATGGAGGACCTTGTACATCTGGTCTGCTGGGTCAGCATTTGCTGGCTGCCAGGGAAGCAGAGGGTCCATCTCAGACTTCCAGGACGCTGCCCTGGCCTGGGTCTCGGCTGTGCTCTGTTGGAGGAACAGCCACCTCAACCAACTCCACGGCTCTCTATGCACATTCAGCCAGCAACACTTTGGGTAGGATCCAAACACGGTCTTCAGGTACACCTTGTATTTCCTTTTGGTCCTTCTTCTCAGAAAGCTGAAAAAACAGAACTGGTGGCTGACTCAGACCTGGCGGTTTGCCCTCAGCCAAATGTCTGGTCTCCCTCGGTGGGAAGGTGACCTCCTCCGATGGCCTTTTCTCCAAGTTCAGCCTTTGGAAGCCTCCTCTTCATCGTTACACCCAAACTGAAAAGACTTGCATGAGCAGACTGGTTGGGAAGGATGAAAGACAGCAGAAAGGGATAAAAGAGCTTGTTGCCATGCTTAGAACTGACAAGGAAAGGCGTCCACTGCACCTACATTTCAGAGATCAGATTAAGGGAGCTCTTCCAGACCAAGGTAACTTGGCCAAACCAAAATGCAAAACGAAGAGCGGAACGCCTGACATTTGAAAGGATTGTGTGATAACTAAAACAGCTTGTTTCTGATGTAACTAAACCGTGACTGTTTCTTGGAGTGGGAGAAACAAATTGGTAATTAAAAATGAGGAAATGAAATGGATATACAAAACTGGCTTTGCTTATCACCACACTCAATGCTGTACCAAAAGGACTACAGGGAGGTTGGATTGAGTGAAGGAGCATCCCTTATCTCCTCTTTGGCCTTAAGACCCTCCTAAGAGGACCAAGAAGCCCCCTTTCCAAGGCCCCAAGAGGCCCTGTTTGAAAGGAGCTAAAAGATGTTATGTTCTCCTAGTCACATATCTTCCCTTTCAGGATGTGACTGAACACCTTGAGAAATATTCCCAACTCTCTGGGCTCCTTTTTACTACCTCCTGCTGTCACTGCTGATATGGGTAACTCAAGATAGGAAGAGGCTGAGAATATTTTCTTCACCAGCTTCTCATCACAAAACAGCTGCTTGGGGCTGAAATGAGATGGGGAGGGCCCCCCGAAATCCTTCCCTGAGCTGCAATTATATTCAAATTCTCCTCCAGCCTGTTGTTTCCCAAAGAAGTTGGACCCAGCTCAGTCCCCCCCCCCTTCAACCCCTGGGTCACAACATATTTGTCTTCCTCATTGCAGCCTTGTGTGCTAGGCCTTTGCTTGGAGGAGCAGGGAAAGGATAAAGAACTCTTGGTGTTACTCGGCAAGCTGCTGTACGTCAACAGAGAGCCAACCCCACACTCACTAGCACTGATGATGCTACCTGGAAGGGCAATGAAATGTCTGCAAGTAAACAAACAGGCTCAGAGAATATCAAGGACTCCACCGAACTTTCGATGCATCTCCAGGTTAAGCCCTGCTTTGGCTGCTAATGGGCCACTGAACCTGCTGGGCCCAGACCTCTCGGGTGACCTTGTGAAGCGGCTGGATGGCCAGCAGCGGGTCATGGAGAGGGCCAAGGGGACAGATCTCAAAAGGCACTTTGGAGGATAGCCTTGAAACACCCTTCTCCCTCTTGCCCTCTGCCCATCCACTGATGCGAACTTCTTTCAGCTTGGAAGGGTACCAGTTCCAGAAACGTGGTAAGCTTAGCCAGAGATGCTGATGCTGAATAAAAATGGGACTCCATCTTCAGCTGCTACACAATCAGCCTTTTGTCTACCGGTCACTTCCCAGGCCAGGGGGTGGCCCAGCATCCCCACCTGGCAATCCAACAAAGAGGAGGGTGGGAAAGAGCAGCCCCAGCCCTGGCTCCTTCCAAATGGCAGGGGGTGGTGGTGGTCTTTGGTCGTTAGGAGAGAAAAACTCTGCTTGGAAGAAAAATGCAAACCATGTGCTGTCCGTGGCGCCCGGTCAAGGCCAAGCTTTGGAATCAGTTCATCCTTTGTGAACAACTGGGAACAATAGGGAGAAGAATCTTTCTGGCAACTCAAGACTTAAGTCTAGGCTGGATCCCCTTGATGAGTTTCCATGCATTACTTCTTGCCCTGCCCTCAGGTGCTTTGGAGAATAGGTTGACCCCCTCTTTCCTGTGGCAGCCCCTTAAATATTGGAAATTGCCTGGGACCTTATTTGGAAGCGTATCCTTGGGCACCATGGCACTTTTGAGGAACTGTACCCGAGTGGCCAACCAGGGGCATCCATACACTTCTTTCAGCCACATGCCCTGCCACTGCTGCCAGCATGGGGGGGGGGTGTCCATTCACATGTATGGAACGTCACTAGGTCCTACAGCTCTCAAATGCCCAACTTTATCCCCTGTTCACCCTCCCTCCCCCCAATTCACATTGTCATTGCTTCCCATTTGCAGATGTTGGCATGTTTCTTTCCTGGGAACTCTGCCCAGCTGGATCTGGCGACCGGATTGAGCAGAGCCCAGCCAAGAGAATTCCTCACCAGGGTGGCAGGACCATCTTGACCTGCCATGGTGTGCTCTGTCGCCTTCTTGTGGCATCTCCTGACAGCTGAGGGGCCCCCACGCCTGCTGCCTGACGAAGGGGGGGCTCCCGTAGCATCACCATTGCCATCGCCCTCCCCGCCAAGGGGGATCTTCCTGAGGAATCATCGTTCAGCCCAGCAAGGAGTCAAAAGACTCAGTTGTCCTCCTCCCAGCCAGAGCAGTTGCTCTGCCCAGGACCCCTATCTTGCCCCCCCCTCCCGCTCTGCTCTGATGCCTCTGGAGGCTGCCTTGGGGCTTGGTGTGGGCTCTGGTCCATGTGGGGCTCCGTGTATCTCCTGACCCAAGGCCCTTTTGCTTATTGCCATACTTAATCTGAAGGGTGGGATCCGAGGTCTCGGAGGCACCTGCTTTGCCTTTTCCACTTTCTTGATCTGTAAACATCGAGACTCTTGGAGGTGTCCAGGTGAGGAATGGGGGGGCTGGCTGTGGCGAGGCCTGCAAGGGAAGAATAAGACTCCCGGCTGCAGATGTGGGGCCACCTGCTGGGGTCCGTCCTTCCCACAGGCCTCCTGCTCAGTGGCCGGCTGCTTCTCAGAGAGCCTTCTTCTCCTTGCCCCCAGTCCTCACCCCTCTGCTGGCTAGGGGAAGGCAGGGGTCAGCCCCGTGTTACAGGCCAGGTTGTCTTTGCTGGGAAGCCGCCGGTTGTTGAATGTGTGCATGTTGATGACGGCGTCAGTCTTCACCATGAGGGGAGGCTGGGCTTTGTGCTTCGTGCGCTGCTGGCAGGTGAGGGACAGCCGGATCTCCTCAGCCATGGCGCTGCAGAAGGACCGCTGGAAGCAGAGGAAGAGGACATCCAGTTAGGGCTCGGCTCACTCGGGGCAGACAAACCCAGCACCCCAAAAGGCCCACCCATAGGGCACCGTGGAGCCGCAGGGGAGCCAGACATAGGAAGCCCCTCCTCCATGCAGCACTGGGGGGGGGAGGAAAGGGGGTCTTGATGTGAATCTGGGCGCCCCATTCCCAGAAGGCTAGTGATGGGTTAGGATAGCCAGAGGAGGGCAACTAAGGGGATATGGGGACTGTCTGGCAAAGATGGAGGGGAGACAGAATACCTGTGCTCAAATATGCCAAAGATGGCCTAGGGAAGATGGTCAGAAACTCTCTTCCATTTCCATAGCATCCGGAATCAGAAATGAAAGAGATAAGTTGCAGCGTCCTAGACTTCATTTAAATATAAGGAAGAAATTTCTGATGGTCTCCTCTGTACCGGAGTGGAGCAGTCTATCTCCAACTCTTTTTAAGGACAGCCAGGTGGGCTAAGTGGTTTTCTTGCACATACAGAAGGTTGAACTGGAAGATGATGCTCACATGTCTGTGATTCTATGACTTTAAGACTCTGGCTCTTCTAATTGATTACCAATTTCTTTATTACATAACCCCCAACATACTGACAACTTTGTCCCACCCTGAAGTTGTGTAATGTTTTTTTTTTGTGTGTGGGGGGGAGTGTTTTCCAATAGAGCCAGCAAGCCAGATGTGTTGATTTGTGTTAGAGTGTTTAGAAGTAAAGCAGAGTTTTGCCCATTGGAGCTTGCTAATTCAGATCAGTGTACCTAATATTGTCCCTGGGACAGTCTGTGCTTCCCCAACCGCTGAACAAAACTACCAGTTCATCAAATGGCAGAAAAAGCCATTTTCCCCCCAAGAAGGACAATCTTCTCTACATCAATGAAAAAAAGGGGGGGAAGAGTCAGATGCATGCTATGGAATTCACATGGGGGTTGGCTCTGAGTTAGCAAAGCCAGGATGTTTGGGGCACCCCTTCCAAAGAAAAGAGGCAGAAGGAAGCCAATACCTGCTCCCGCTCGGCTGTCTTGCGCAGCTTGTAGATGAACTCCACAGTGGCTACGAAGACCGAGAGGATGAGGCCAGCAGCCAGGACGATAAAGAGCCCCCCGATGTTCTGAATGCCGAGGGCGCTGGCTTCCTTGCTCTCCTCTTCCGGGCAGCCATTGCTTCGCCACCACTTCTCCTTCATGGCGTGCAGCTTTGCCTCTTCCTGAAGCTGGAGGATGGCGATGGTGATCTTGTCTCGGTATGGAGAACCTGTAAGTGGAGGAGGCAGAGGGCGGAGCATTGCAGGAGACCCAAAGGACAAAGCTAAAAGGAAGATTGCTCTACACAAAACCTACGGAAGAATTTTCAGCCAGATCTGAAGACTCACAGAAAGCTGGATAAGCAACGCACACGTTGCAGACAGACATAACTGATGCAGCCATAAAGTTCAGGGCTTTTTGCACTGATAATTTTCACTGCCTCAAAGGAATCACTGCAATTTGTGGTGCAGGATAAGCGAGTTTGAGAAAGGCAGTTTCAGAGGTGATTCTAAAGTGTGTGCAGGAGGCTACTGTACTGTTTAGTCCAGGGCCTCTCTGACATCCCTGGTATTCTCTGAGAGTGGTTGTTTTCTTGCAGAGATTTCCTCACCTAACTATGGTAGGTAACACCATCAGTGCATTGATGTTATCTAGTTGGCTAATGAAACATCTACCAGCAAGTTCAGAGAGCAGCAAGGACTATGGAGTTCAACTCTGAGCTGCAAATATTCTCTTCTATTGGTTGGTTGTTACAATAGACATATGGGATGATCTGAGATTATTCCTAATCCTAGATTGATCCAAGAGGAACTTTGCAGTTTGTCTTGGGCCAATCAACCTTCTTGATGTGCCTTGATAGTAGCCAGTTTGGTTTCAACCATAGTCTAGAAAGTCCAAATTCCTGCATTTCCCACCAGGACATGCTTCTGTCGGCTGCCCCCCTTCTCGCCCTTGCAGCCTCTTGCTGCTCTCACCCATGGGCGTGCCAATCCCATAGCCCTTGGAATCAATCAGTCCTCCGATCTGGGTCAGATTGCAGTTTCGTTGGGTGATGTACTCAATGGTGGTGGATTCCATCAGCAGGGCATAGTCAGAAGTCAGGGCACGCTGGATCCCTTCTTCGTTGTTCTTCACCAGAGCTGAGGGTTTGCTGCTCATGAAGGCCCACATTTTTTCAAAAGTAGAGATCCTGGACTTCTGAAAGGGCAGATCCGTGGAAAACAAAAGAAGAGGGGGTTAGGCCAAGGCATGAAGGATAAGGTAGACTTCATTCAAAAAGTGCTGCTGACCAACTCCTGCCCAGCCTTCGCCTTCATCTCAAAAGTCACACAGGAGGAGGGTATTGCTCAAAATGGGCCAGCAGTCAAAAGGGGTTCAAGCAAAAACACTCTCCCTTTACACAGATTACACAGAAGAATTCTGCATGAGCTAGATTATCCCTGCCCCTCTACAATGCACCTGGCTCTTTGGTGCCTCTGCTGTTTCCGGTGGTGGATGGGGTTCCATGAAAATCATGAATGAGAAGAGTTTGAGCAGGTGGAATCAAAGAAAACTCACCCAAAATTCAAAGAGCTTTTTGCCAGGACAGTTGAAAAGGGACCTTGCAGCACTTCTAGTCCAACATTCTCTCAAACAAGTGACCCCTATATCAATCCAGACAAATGACTGTCCAATCACTTCTTATAAACCTTAGAAACCTAATGAACCTAATGAAGCACTCACAGCTTCTGGAGGCAACCCATTCCACTGATGAATTGCCACTGAAGTAAGAATCATTAAGATTAGAAAGCGGCACAGGCATAAGAATATTTCTTTTTCAAAAAGCAAAACGACAGGTAGTAAATCTCTCAACTAGGAGAGATCCCAGGAGGTTATTATATTTGTTCTTGGATGGGGTTGAACTATCCCAGGCAGACATGATGTGTAACTTGGGGGGTCCTTAACTCACAACTCCTGTATGTAAACCTTACCTTGTATGTGAGGAGATTACACTGCTAGCAATTAGAAACTGACATCAATACAATAGGTGGTTAACAATATCAGCTTTTGAAGTTAATCAGGTATCTGGCATATATTGATTGAAGTGCCACACAGCATTTTGAAAATACCAAGCAAAAGATTTATCAAGATATCCCCACATTTGTTACAGCATGACTGGATGCCCCAATCCTTCTCCACCCTCAAGCAAATGAAAAGCACTTTAAATGAGTTCTTTTGATCCAATGGAGAGCGCCTTGCAAGTGCAGCCATTTAAGCTGCTGATTTGGGATTCATTTTCCTTTTGGCAACAAGGAAAAACCTTTGTTCAGCTTGTCATGAACCTCTGTAGTAAGTGCAAGTTCTGGATGTTTCCACACCCAAAATTTAATACTATAATAGAAGGGACCTTGGAGGTCTTCCAGTCCAACCCCCTGTACAAGCAGGAGACCCCTAAGTGGAATTTTCCCCCAATGGGATTTTCCCATGTATTTTACCAGGAAACATAGATAGGGCAGCCTAGAAAAGTCAGTGCCCTCCTAACCATACCCAAGCACTCTGGGTTTGTTGGCGATGTCCATTCTGCTCTATGAGTTCAAGGTGACCTAATCCTAAACCTAAGTGGAATTTTCCCCCAATGGGATTTTCCCATGTATTTTACCAGGAAACATAGGTAGGGCAGCCTAGAAAATTCAATGCCCTCCTAACCATACCCAAGCACTCTGAGTTTGTTGGCGATGTCCATTTTACTCTATGAGTTCATGGTGACCTAACCCTAACCCTAAGTGGAATTTTCCCCCAATGGGATTTTCCCATGAATTTTACCAGGAAACATAGATAGGGCAGCCTAGAAAAGTCTGTGCCCTCCTAACCATACCCAAGCACTCCGGGTTTGTTGGCGATGTCCATTCTGCTCTATGAGTTCAAGGTGACCTAACCCTAAACCTAAGTGGAATTTTCCCCAATGAGATTTTCCCATGTATTTTACCAGGAAACATAGATAGGGCATCTTAGAAAAGTCAGTGCCCTTCTAACCATACCCAAGCACTCTGAGTTTGTTGGTGATGTCCATTTTACTCTATGAGTTCATGGTGACCTAACCCTAACCCTAAGTGGAATTTTCCCCCAATGGGATTTTCCCATGTATTTTACCAGGAAACATAGATAGGGCAGCCTAAAAAAGTCAATGCCCTCCTAACCATACCCAAGCACTCCGAGTTTGTTGGCGATGTCCATTTTGCTCTTTGAGTTCATGGTGACCTAACCCTAACCCTAAGTGGAATTTTCCCCCAATGGGATTTTCCCATGTATTTTACCAGGAAACATATATAGGGCAGCCTAGAAAAGTCAGTGCCCTCCTAACCATACCCAAGCACTCTGAGTTTGTTGGCGATGTCCATTTTACTCTATGAGTTCATGGTGTCCTAACCCTAACCCTAAGTGGAATTTTCCCCCAATGGGATTTTCCCATGTATTTTACCAGGAAACATAGATAGGGCAGCCTAGAAAATTCAATGCCCTCCTAACCATACCCAAGCACTCCGAGTTTGTTGGCGATGTCCATTTTGCTCTATGAGTTCAAAGTGACCTAACCCTAAACCTAAGTGGAATTTTCCCCCAATGAGATTTTCCCATGTATTTTACCAGGAAACATAGGTAGGGCAGCTTAAAAAATTCAATGCCCTCCTAACCATACCCAAGCACTCCGGGTTTGTTGGCGATATCCATTTTGCTCTATGAGTTCAAGGTGACCTAACCCTAACCCTAAGTGGAATTTTCCCCCAATGGGATTTTCCCATGTATTTTACCAGGAAACATAGATAGGGCAGCCTAAAAAAGTCAATGCCCTCCTAACCATACCCAAGCACTCCGAGTTTGTTGGCGATGTCCATTTTGCTCTATGAGTTCATGGTGACCTAACCCTAACCCTAAGTGGAATTTTCCCCCAATGGGATTTTCCCATGTATTTTACCAGGAAACATAGATAGGGCATCTTAGAAAGGTCAGTGCCCTCCTAACCATACCCAAGCACTCTGAGTTTGTTGGCGATGTCTATTTTACTCTATGAGTTCATGGTGACCTAACCCTAACCCTAAGTGGAATTTTCCCCCAATGGGATTTTCCCATGAATTTTACCAGGAAACATAGATAGGGCAGCCTAGAAAAGTCTGTGCCCTCCTAACCATACCCAAGCACTCCGGGTTTGTTGGCGATGTCCATTCTGCTCTATGAGTTCAAGGTGACCTAACCCTAAACCTAAGTGGAATTTTCCCCCAATGAGATTTTCCCATGTATTTTACCAGGAAACATAGATAGGGCATCTTAGAAAAGTCAGTGCCCTCCTAACCATACCCAAGCACTCTGAGTTTGTTAGCAATGTCCATTTTGCTCTATGGTGACCTAACCCGCCATTCCAACTCTTTTATATTACTCCTATCAAGAAATAAAATAAAAAGAAAGAAGGAAAAAAAAGTACTATGTTACTTGAGGGGCTATTCTCTCTTAAAATAAAATTCGTATCGAAAATCTTTCTATTTCTTTAACCATATTCAAACAGGTGTTTCTTTTTTAAATATTCTCTCCGATAGGTCCCATCGTCTATTTTCTTAATTTTCCACTTTAGCCTTTTTCTTTTGCCCAGTATCTTTCTTAATTAACATGTTCTGCTGAATCATATTCTTGTAGGTGTTACTGTAGATATAAAAGGTAAGTCAAGTACAATATCTTTGTAAGAGGCAGTTGCCCTTTCATTTTTGTTGAAAATCTTTTTTTTTTCTCTCTGCTTTTTTTGTCATTTTTTGTCTCTCCAGTTCTGATGTTTTTCCTGGCATCTCTGTAGTCCATTTTGTCCAATCTTTTTTCTTATCCTCAAATTTGTTTTGTGGTGTTAAAGTATAAGTTGTTTTTTCCAAATCTAGTATTTCTTGTAAATTTTTTTCCACTTGGGTTAAATCATACTTCTTTTGTTTTGTTAGGTTCCAACTTTAAGTCTCTATCCTCAAATTTGTATTCAGTTGTCTGTTTTATCTGTTCCTTCTCTGTGTTGTTGTTTCCTGGGATTTTTTGTTGTTGTAAAGTTAAATTGGAGATGACTTGTTTTATATTTTCAAAGTTATTTTGGATTTCTTTGTGGTTTGAAATCATTGTTATTTGAATTAGTTGCAATATATCATATGTCTCCTCTTGAAAAGTATTTATTTTTTCTTGATAAGTTCTTTCTACAATTCTCTGATTTTCCATGATGACCAAGAATCCAAATTTTCTTTTCTCTGCAAATAGCTTTGGGGTCAGAGGTAAGCAGATACTTGAAATCCAGAAAGCCCCAAACTCCTCGACTGCTGTGCTGCTGCGCAGGACCAGAAGTCTGCTGCCCTCATGTTTCATTTCCTCAGGCCCTTGCAAGATCCCCAGGCCCAACTACTTGCTTGATTGAGAGCAACATTAACAACATTAAAATATTGCAAAGTAGGGAAATCACTGTACAAAATCATGGCCAGGGAAACTAGACATCATCAAGTTAGGCAGACTGCGATGCTCCTGCTCGATTCCCCCCTTGAGGAGTCATTATTGGGGAACCTAGATCAGACTGTGCCAGGATCCTCTTTGGCATTCACAACTACCAATCCCCTTGATACCAAGTTCCAGTGCCTCTGCCGTTCCTTGAGCCCCACATACAAGTAGGCAACTGTATTGCCAAATGTATTTCACAGACAAGGACCTGCAGATTTGATTAGCAACTGAAATCCCACCATGATGCCCCCTCAAATGGCAGCCTCTCCCTCCCCCTTTAAGCAAGAACAAGGATGCCGAGCCCTGGTGAGCATCTCAGCCACCGGCACCCTCTTCCCCAGGTGCCTTGGAACTCTCACCTATTACTGGGCTCCCCTGCCTGCTTCCCTGGCCAAATCACTCCCTGCTTACACTGACGGGGCCCTGGGAAAGCAGAGGAGGGCTGAGAGGGGAGGCAGTGGGGCAGTTCTGAACCCCACAGACCCCTTTTTGGATGGACAGAGAGGAGAGGGCCAAGAGTGGGAGCAGGTTTGCATGGACACAGGTCTGTGTGGACACAGAGGCTCCACTCACTCATTCTGCTACGACAAATGCTCCGGGACTCCTAGGGAAGAGAGGCACAAAGGTTGCAAGCTCACCTTGAAGAAGGTCATGGTGGCTCCATCCTTGACTGCTCCATACTCAATTTTGGTCTGCTTGGCCAAATCATCTGCAGAGCCAATGGGGGACTCCATCCTCTCCACCGTCAAGAAGGCAGCCAAGTTTGCCGTGTAGGAAGAGATGATGATGAGGGTGAAAAACCACCAGATCCCCCCAATGATCCGAGTGGACAGAGCTTTGGGCATCAGCTCGGAGCCTGGGAAAGAAGGGAGAAAGAGAGGGACGCAGTCACTGGCTGGACAGTCCCCACTCCCCCCTGGCCCACCTCTCAGTCCTGAGCTGCACCCCATTGCATCAGGTCATCCTGAGCAACCCCCAAGAAAAACATCCTGCTGTTTCTCTTTTTTCCTTTTACTGCTGGCAGAAATCCCCAGCCCATTCCTGCTGACCTTGGGCACAGCCAATAATTTATGGGGAGCTGCAAATCAGAGTAATTAACTAAGCAGCTTTTATGTGATTTGAATAACAAGCCATTTGTGCACTTTTATGTCTCTTTTTGTTCAACCGTTTAAAATAAAAAGGAACTCCTTTTATGTAGATTGCTTTTCAAAAGGACTCCCTCTGACTCCAAGGACATTCTTCAAATATACAGGCTTTTTTTTTTTTCAAAAAAATAAAAAAATAAAAGAAAAATCCAGACTTCTGGGCAAGAAATGATCTGGGCTGCAAATAGCAGCCAAGTGTAGGAAAATACCATTTAAAAAAGTGTTACAGGCCTACAGTGACTTTGCCCAAAGAGAGAAGGACATCCATGGATAGTTTTATCTCTTCTGCTCCTGATTCCAGATGGAACCAAGTTTAAAAGGGGGCAGGGGCAGTGGGGGTCAAGATAGGAGGTCTGAAAACCTGGGGGACCTGCTCCTTTGCTGATTCCTAGTCTACTCCATCCAAGGAGCCTCCTTTCTGTGCTGGCTGGCCAGATTCCTGGTGAACCTCCTGAAGCCTACAATTTACAGACATGGAAAGATCTTCTCAGCCCATCATACTCAACCCCCTGCTTGGTGCAAGAATCCAAATGGAAGCATTTCAGATAGAAACGGAGCATGACGCCTCGTTGGGTCAAAAGCTCCTCTGTCCACCTATCCTTAATGTTAGGGAGTTTCACTATGATCAGAAAATGTGATACAGGGAGAATTAATCCAATACATGCACAGTAGCCATATCAATATAATAGGAAGGAAGGGAGGGAGGGAGGGAGGGAGGGAGGGAGGGAGGGACGTCAGTTGCACATTAATTGTCTCCGTTTTCAAAATTGGACAAGATAACTGCTTTCTTTGCTCCTAAAAAGTAGGCAATATCGACCCCTACCATGAATTACAGCATTGAATCTCCTGCCCTCATCGTTATCTTGGAGTTACAGTATAAGCTGATCCCAATCTCCATTTCCAGACTGACTTCTACCTATAGGTCTCAGTGTTGTGAGATCTGTTTTTTGTTTTCTTCAGGAAAGAGTCCTTGAAGCCATCAGGTCCAACCAACCAACTTGCCAACTTCCTGCCTGATTCAGAGTTCTTGAAAACTCAGAAACTTGCATTCTTTCTGTGCCATTTTTCAGTATGGCTATGACTCTCAGAACAGATCTGTGACTACATGGAGCATGGCAAATTAGAGAATCAGATTAATATTCAGAAAGAAAAGAAAGAAATTTCTTAAATATTTCTGATGGAACCTAAAATAGGTTCTGATCAGTAGTGTTCATAGACTGGGGCAAAGAATTAAACAAGAACATGATGACAGTCTCCCTCTTTTGGCATATGTATCAATTGTCCTAGTTCCGACAGATGAAACTCCTCAAAAGAACTTCGAGGCATTGTTTACCTTAAAGAAATCTTTTATTTGAGAAACAAAGTATCAGCACTACATAGTCAAAACCCAAAACTAAATCCCCCTCCCCTGGATACAAAGTAACAAAGCACAATTCCCTCCTCCAATAAACAGTCATAAATCACATTCCCCAATTAGCTTGAAGCACGGGCTTTCTCCCCAGCTCTCCAGCCTGCCAAAACTCTATCAACTCTGGGCCCAATGACCATGGGTTCCACAGCTGAGTTATTATTGTTATGACTAGTTGGACTCTCATCCACATTCCGCCTCCAAGCATCAACTAACTCTAAAAGCAATAGAGGAAAATGGCTGCATTTCCATCTGTTGTCAAAGCAAGAACATCCGATGTTAGCAGCGTTGACATCAATGTCACACATGCCTGCAACAGTGTGGGGCTTCTAGGATGCAGCCACACCTGCCACCTTGACTTTCTTATTCTCCCCACATGGGCACTCTGGCCCTGATCTGAGGCCTCCATGTGATCCTTGGGTCTTTATTCTTTTTTCATGAATGAAAAATTACCCAGAGCAAATCCTGAGTAATCCCTGTTAGACTTCAAGCACAGGGAAATTTACTGCCTGCTGGAACCTTTCCATTGGCTTAGCTCAGGCCATTTAGACCTGTGGAAGCCCCTGGACTTCCACTTCTCCCTGGCAGGAAGAGCTGGTGAGCATCCCAGGAGCAGGTCCTGCGTGGAGCAGAGGGAGTCTCGCTCCTCAGGACCCCTTGGATAGCTCATCAGGGAGGAGGTCTTGCCTCTGCTCCAAAGATCCTCCCCAGTGGAGGAGACGGAGAAGCTGATCCTGACAAGCTCTTCAGAGACTGCCTGGAGACACTCCCTCCCCCCATTTCAAAAGCAAGGTCTTTGCTTGTCATTGTGTGATGACAGCAACTCCTTGGCGCTCTGCTGCTTGTAACCATGAAGGAGAGAAGACACTTTATTACATCTCTTGCTCCAAAGGCTTTTTTCCCTAACAACAACATTCATCTTGCACCTGTCAATTGACAAGCATGCAACATGTGCATAGAGGAATACATGAAACTGAAGGAGGAGGAGGAGGAGGAGGAAGAGGAGGAGGAGGAGGAAGAGGAGGAGGAGGAGGACGACGGCTTACCTTGCTGCATCAGGGCTCCCATTCCAAACCAGAAACTGTTGAGGAGGGTGAAGTTGTTCTCGACGATGTCTGACCCAGGGTTGCACGGATGAGCATCATACCATTCGTAAGGGCTGAACCTACGTGTAGAAAGAAGGGGAGGTCTCACTCCTGCAGACAGGACGGGCACGGATGGGCAGGAGAAAAATGCCCTGGGCTGGGCACCACTTGGGCAATCTGAAAAGCAGCCTAAATCAGGTTAGCCTCCCTATTCAGGTCAGAGCAAAAGTGGAATTCAGAAGTTGACCTTCCCCAACCGTCAGTGGAAAAGCGACCTACGGCAGCAAATTACTGATGTTTTGGTGAACCCGGCTGATGCATGCAGCCAGCATAACCTGTGAGATGCAGATGGATTGTGAAAGTAGCTTTTATAGCTTGACTTCCTTGTGTCTTTCTCTCTTTATCTTGCAAAGTTGCATGTTCTGAGGAGACCCAATCAATTCAGATGAGTAAGAGGAAGGGGCTTTGCATAAACATGTTTTGATGTGTATAAAAATAAAATGCTTCATATGGACGTTTTAGGTCCTGCATGGAATTCAAAGCAATATACATGTATGTGGCTGTTGCAGAAATGCTTACAAACATTTGACACGATGGACTGTAGCCTGCTTTAAGTTAAATTTCATTCCCAGGGATTGCAAACAGATCCAGGTTGTTTTCTTGGCAACAATTTGTACTAAAAGAGTGTGATTTACAGTGATTTACAGAGGAAATCAGGATAGAAATTCTACAAACAAGCAAGCTGGGAGCCAAGAAAGAGGCGAGCAGGCCAAGCTGGAGAAGAGAAATCCTCAACCTATCACTGTACTGATAAAAGGTAAAATCTCCTTCAAGTGAAACTCCATGTAGTCTTCTAGGCAGCAACGTGGAAATGGTTTGTTTAAGCTCCCCAGTTTAGTCTACAGCCTTGGGATGCCCTGGAAATCTCTGCTCCCGGTCAATAAAGGAAGCAGGACAACTGGCTTGTCTTCCAAAAGACTCGCTAGAAATTCCTCCTACATCTTCCTTCTTTGATTAGCCCTGATGGTGCCAGTTTGTTCTCGTCCAACAAATTTTGCTGTCCCACAATTCTCCCCTTCCCTGAGCTCTTTCTTCAACAATCTTATTGGGCCTCTCAAATAATAATGCTGGAAGTGCTTGGTATGGAAAATGGCAAAGACATGAAATCAGCGGCTGCAGCAGCAATGTGAGCTTGCTTTTAAACCTCGGGGCTTTTAAAAGTCATGGATCCATCACTGGATGAGAGATAAAGACCAACACACAGGGCAGGTTCCCAGCAGGGGAGGGACAGGGGATTCCCGTGCTTCCCTCCCAAGGATTCCCAAAGCCCACTTCAAGAGACCTCTGGTTAGAGCAGAGAAATGGCAAAATTGTCTTAGGACGGAGAGAGACACACATCGACCCAAACACCAGTGCCCGCCCCTCCCATGGACTGTGTTTTTGCAAGGGGAGCCTGAGTGAGTGAGGGAGGGAGGCCAGCTTGGATCTTGCACTTCTTTGGTGTGTCTCCTTTCCGTGTTGGCAAAAGACATTTCTAACGCTTTCGTCACCTCACACCGTTTGCAGTAACCACTCAGCCAATCCAGATCTGCCAGAGCAAACAAGGAGCTGGTCTGTTCCCCGCAGAGCTAATTTTGACAAGCACATTATACAAAATTAGGGTATTAGGCACTAAGCTCAGGTAATCACCTCCAAAGGCTGTAATGGCCCCGGGGAGCCAGCACTGCATCATCACCCCCCCACCCCCAGCACTGAGGATGATGGAGGCAATCATCCCGAGTCTCTGCTCTTCTCTCTAACCTCCAACTGGACAAGGCTGCTGCTAAACGGACAGGGAGGCTGTGCTCAGCCAGTTTCCCACCTTTCAATTAGTTCCCATTAACCCATCCCCAGGAAGCGGGAGGGGTGGGAAGCCATTTCCCCACCTGCCATCAAGCAAAAGAGAGAACCTCACACTGACTACATGGTGCTTCTCTCTTTTTAACAGATGCAGCAGAGGCAGCCAAGTGGCCCATCGCTAGTTCTGTCTGAGGCTACAGCCCCAAAAGTCGGTTTGGATGACCTGCAACCTAGTATTATTAGCCAGAGAGCGGGAACTCGTGGTGCAGCACCCCTTCTCTTCTTTTTTAACCTTGTAAAATAGGAGTGAAAACCCCTTCTGGTGAGAGGGAGAGAGAAAGGGAGGGGGGTCTGATATGGTACAGAAGCTGATCCAGGAAGAAGGGCTGAGGGGAAAGCTCCCACCGTATACCAAAGCCTTTCTCCCCCCCCCCCGGCAGGTTTCCTTACCTGGCAATCACAAAAAGCACACAGCTAACTCCCAGGTAAGCAAGCAGGATGTACATCCAAATGTCAGGAGACAGAGGGTTCAGGAAGGAGAAGACACTGGGGTTAGTGCCATTGGCCTTTCGGTAGAGAATGCTGATTCCCAGAGTCATGAAGGGCTTGGAGAAGTCAATCACTTTCTCCCGGACGTGGGTGATGGTGAGGGGAGCGACTGCCAGATCAGCTTTCTGCAAAGCAAATCAGCAAGAAGCACAGGGAGAGAAAGCAGTAGTTAGAGACAAGCAGGGGAGACTCGGTGGAGCAAAGCAATAGGATCTGAGTAGATGTCCCAAAAGTGCTTTTTTTTTCAAAAGGCAACTGGCCTTTCTTGTTTTTTTTTCTTTGTAAACGTTTTGCTACTCCTCTTCAGTGAACTGAAGAAGCTTCTTGGATGAGAAGCAAAACTTTTTCAAAGAAAAAAGAAGCCTTTTGGAAAAGCACCTTTGGGACAACCACGATGACCTGGACATAGCTGGCTCAGGAATTCTGGGAGTTGAAGTCCACGAGTCATAAAAGACGCCATGTCTGTGATCTTTTCTGGCAAGCATACAGAAGTGCTTTCCTCCTTCTTCAGAGCTGCTTTTAAACTTCATGGAGCCAACAGTCCCAGGATTCTCTAGAAATCTCTTGTCCAAGGACTAACCGGTCCCGGCAGGGCTTAATATCCGAGCCTGACTAAGTTAGCCAGGCACTGCCAACTTAGTTGAGATGCCCCTCTTTAGGATCAGTTAAAATACCAAACTGTGTTGATGAGCAGTTTCTTAAAGGAACAAGAGTCTCTCTTACAACAGACACAAAGGAATTAGGGAGGGACAATTGTTTGAGGGGTAACGTATTCAATAATATTTGGAACTTCTCTTTATGCTCCTAAGAAGCAAATATGTGCAGATTATCCACTTTAGCCTTTCCAGATCCCGTGACCCACTGGGACACCGCAACCTTCACAAATACGAGCCCGTTGCCAAGCGGCTGACTTTTGATCCCACGACAGTGGGGAGGCCGCAACGGTTGCAAGGGTGAAAAGCGGTCCTAAGTCCCCTTTTTTCAATGCCGTTGTAACTTCGTTGTAAGTTGAGCACTACCTGTACTGGATCCAGTTTTTTTTAAAGGCCACCTTTGTTTTTTCTTTTTAATGAGAAGGCCCACTTTTTGCCTTTATCCACTGATGCCCCACAATTTGTCCTGCTGGAAATAGCAGAGCCATTGTTCTTGTCTGGGCATGTTTGCCTGCTAGAGCCAAGCCTGCAGGGTTGAAGCCAGGCAGTTCCCAGGACCCTCCCCCCCCGCCTCGGTTCCCTCAACAGCCTTTGGCTCTGAACACTCTGGTTCCTGCTGCCACCTGCTATCTTCTGGGAGGGCACCTCGCCCGAGATGCTATTCCTAATTTGAGTGGATGAGAGAGAGAGATAAGAGCTGCCTCAGCCTTGGTGTAAAGAAAGTAACAGAATAAACTCAATAGTGCCATCTCCTGCTTCTGCAATCAGCCCCCATCTCCTTTAGCAGACAGACTAACCTGAAAAGGTATAAAAAAAATCAAACTTCATTTTAAAAAAAAGGTTACAAATCTCTTTTTTAATTAAGTAGTCTGATGCAAAACATTCAGTGGTGGAGGATATGAAAATTTAGAGCAGTTAAAAATGTAATTTTTAAAGAATCTCCAAAACAAAAATATTCAGGAAAATATAAACTTCTCGCAGTGCTCCAAATTCCAGGTAATTATAAACAGGTTCCAAACCAAATCCAGCAACTGGCCTTATAGAGAGATCATACCAAAGATTGTAAAGCTAAAATAGCAAACTGTATTCTAAATAAGAAGTATTCTTATGCATATTTCTTAGATTATTTCCTAGAGATAAACAGACTATTGTAGCATATTTCTTACCTGGTTCCTTTGGATTTATTTATTTATTTGTACATGCTAGTATTTACAACCTGAAAACCAGAAGCTCAGAAGAAATATTGCTTCTTTCCATTTCCTTAATCTGAGTATCCACATTCTATATACTTTTTTTAAAAATCCTTTTTGAGAGAAAAGAAAAGGTTTTGGGAAAATTTGTTGCAGACATGCCAACACCCACATGATTATTCTGCTTGAGATAGAGAAAACGTATATTCTGACTGACTGGATTTCTGAGAAAGCAGGCTGGCTTCAATGCAATGGCACTAGATGGCAACTTCAGATAGCAGAATAAACAATCATAGAACACTAGACTTCCAAATCAATCAAGTCAAATAACTTTATTACAGTCATAAGACCAGAAAATGGGACAATATGCAACCTAAAAAGTAAGTAACTATAGATACGACTATATATCTATTGCCAAATATAGATGTTGAGATAAAAAAGAAATAAAAGAATAAAATACAATAAAATATAAAATAAAATAATCTGATAGAAATACTATATAACAGATTAAAATAACATGAAATACCAGTAAGTAAATTGGTTTTTGTTCAGTTGCACGTAGAATGAATAACACATATGGACACACAAAGCTGGGCCACCTGGCAGGATATAGTTGAGTACTTATTAGAGCAGAGGACCAACAAATAAAATTCTGCCTGGAAAGGTCTTCAGGATGGGGTGGATGAGGGTCTTTCTAGAGTCCCTGTACAAGGAACAACAAAGAAGCACATAGCTCAAAGACTCCATGGGCAGAGATGCTGGTGCACTGGAATATTGCTTAGGGCCCCCAAAGGCCTGGGGAGGGCACTGTGTCTTCCTATGAGAATAGATGGCTGGCATGAACCCTTTTGGGAGAATCTCCTGAATTACAGGTCCAGGCAGTAGGCTTCGATTAGACAGAAGGCCTGTGTCCCGGAGCTGTTACTTGAGAATGCATTTGGCATTTTCAAAGCCTAAGAAGCAGAGACTCTTCATTGAAAAACCCAATAAGTGGATTTAGCTTTCTTAAGTCGCGGTGATTTAAAATGGTTCTTAAGGACCAAGGGGATCAGACCTACAGGGAAGAAGATTAAGTTTAACCAAAAGCTGATGACTCAAAATTAAGCTTCAGCCTCTACAGAAACTAAACCGATCTCTAAAAGTTAAACAGCATCCTTAATATAATTTGGGACTGCAACAGTGGCTTTAATAAACTAAACAACTTCAAGAATATTGAACCTGGCAAGAGGGCAGATTCAAGTATCATAGAGAAGCTGAGGGACACCTTGCATGGTGCAGAGATGTCCTGAATGAAAATGAAAGTCTCAAAGCAGCTGCAGAGTTGCACTAGTCCAATAAGAAAGAGTCCCATTAATGTCTCATTTATGAATTTTATGGGGGTGATGAGCAAAGATCATTTTTTAAATATTTTTAATAATTGTTCTTTTAGGCAGAAAAATGTTTGTTTAATGCTCTTCTCATTCCTATCTCAAAAATGGACCAGGTAACCACATCATCTGCATACAAGTGATGGGATAAATTGTTATGCTAAAACAGGAGGATGATGAGCAAGGAACAGAACATAGAACAATAAAGTGGGAAGGGACTTTGAGTAGGAGGCCTTACATCATTTCAGATAAATGGTTGTCCACTCTCTTTTTGAAAGCCTCCAGTGAATATTATTAAAGAGGGTGGGGAAATATTGAATCAGTCTGGGCTTCTTGCAAAGAAACTTGGAGTCACTTCTACTTTTTCTGTTTTTTTTCCTTTTTTTTCCTTTTTCTTTCCTCTTACTATTTCTAGCCAACACTCCACAATTACTTCATCTTGCACAGCCCTTCCCTTTCTTCCCATTCAGGCCCCTACAGCTTCAGGCACTGAAATAAACACCTGAACAGCATCACTTGAAAATATGGAATATAAAGATGTATAACTGGATATCATCAGCATCTTGATGAATCTTGGGATACCCAACTGTGCGTTTCCCTCCATGTAGATGTAGTTCCATTGAGGACTGCAGGTTGAGTGTGGCTGGTCAGAGCAAAACAATGGCAAACCTCCCTCCTCAAATGTGTTGAAAAAGGGGATTAATGAGCAAGGAACAAATCCTGCGCATCTTTTTTCAGTTATCTCACTGAATTTCCTTTAAGTTTGAGCAGCCTCACAATCCATTGTACCTATGAGGAATCCGGCAATGTGTAAGAAACGGTGAAGTGGAGCAGAGCTTCTGTTCTCTTGCCTAGAGGGATTTCATTTTCAGACACACTTTTAGGCTTTTGGTAACACAAAGGGCTTACGTTTCTGAGAAGATGAGAATCACAGGCGAGGCACAGCGGTTAGCCTGAAGCTTTGTTATCAACACGGCAAATTTCCCATCCCAAACTGCTCCAATATTTGTGTAGAAAGGTATTCTGGTACTAGCCATAACATTCCAGGAAAGGGGGAGGGGGACAGATTGGATTAAAAACTGAAACAAATTACCAATAGGGCCCCTAAGATTCTTTAATTTCTTCTTTAATGCACACATCTTCTTGCTAGGAAGATTGCGAGACAAAAATATAGAAGGAGGAGGATCAGGGATGAGTAATGATGGTTGTAATTATTCTAATGATTCAAGCTGTCTTGATTTACACACTCATGACCTTGAGATGCATTAAAAGTCCTATATTCAAGGGGCAGGAAAGAAGGTTAGTTGAATCCATGCACTGACTGGACCTTAATGATTAAAGCAAATCCTGCATGTTCTTGGTAGACCAGTACCTGAAACCGGAAGAGGCTGCACTCCTTTGATTTCTAACGGTCTGTTAAAAATAGATCATGCCAGACAAACCTTACTGCTTTCTTTGACAAAGTGATTAACTTAGTGCAGGGGTAGGCAACCTTGGCTCTTTTATGACTCGTGGACTTCAATTCCCAGAATTCTTGAGCCAGACAAAGTAGACCACAGCTTACTTCTTGGTAAGACAGAAGAAGATAGGATAGACAGCCTCACCACCAGAAGGATTCGCAGTTGGCTGACAAACCACATTCAATGTGTAGTCCTTAATGGAACCACATCTACACGGAGGGAAGCATGCAGTGGGGTACCTCATGGCTCTGTCTTAGGCCCAGCTCTTCAACATCTTCATGAATGATATAGATGAGGGGATAAAATAGGAACTCATCAATTTTGCAGATGTCACTGGGGTGGGAGAATTGCCAATACTTTAGAAGATAAACCGAAGAGTCAGAAGGATCTTGACGAACTTGAGCGTTGTGTCCTATTCAACAAGTTGCAATTTGGTGGCGAGTAAAGTAAGGTCCCGTAGTAGGCAGGAAAAGTCAAATATGCACAGATATAGAATAAGTGGTACCTGGATCAAAAATAGTAACTGTGAGAGAGATCTAGGTGTCCTAGTGGATCACCAGTTAAGTATGAGCCAGCAATGTGCTGCAAATGCCAAAAAAGCCAGTGGAGTCTTAGGATGTATCAACAGAGGGACAGCATCAAGATCATGAGAAGAGATAATATAGCTTTATACTGCACTAGTGAGGCCACACTTGGAATACTACATCCAGTTCTGGTTTACCACAATACAAACAAGGTGCTGAGAAAAAGTAAAGAGAAGAGCAACAAAGATGATAAGGGATTTGGAGGCTAAATCATACAATGAACAATTGAGGGAAATAGGTATGTCTAGTCTAACGAAGAAAAGGACTAGGGGTAATACGATAAGAGTCTTCCAACACTTGAGTGATTGCCACAGAAAACAGGGGTCAGCCTATTTCCTTGGGACCTCTCATCTGGACTACTGCAAAATAGTAGACATGGAGCTACCTTTGAAGAGTATTCGGAAGCTTCAACTGCTGCAGAATGTGATGGGGGCAACTCTGGGCCCAGAAGGAGGGCCTTTTCTGCTAAGGACCCCTCCCTTGAGAACGTTCTTCCACTGGATATCAGGATGGCCAATTTGGCTGGCCTTCTGTGAGCTCCTGAAGACCCATCTCTCGGCCTGGCCTGCAGCCCCAAGTGCATGAAGGAAATGTAGGTGATTGTCGGTTTTCTTGGTTGCTGTGTAGTTTAATGAGTGTACTGAATCTGATTTTATTTTTTAATCACTGTTTGTCACCCAGAATTGTTGCTGAAGTGGGCAGCTATATAATTTAATTAAACCAAGCAAGCAAGCAAGAGCCACAAAAGTGACAGAGACTTGTTGCCCCTCTGGGTTAAATCCCATCAGACTTGGTCTGAAGCTTTGCACGATGCTCCCTTCTGTATGCTTGCAATGTGCCACTCAATTTCCCTTCTGTTTTGATTTCTCAGCCTCAGTCCAGATCTAAAGCTGAAAGGGAGCCGTTTCCTGTCTGGGGCAGAAAGCGAGCTAAAGTCCCATACCTGCCTCCAGGAGGTAGCCTGAAGCCTCTCCTGCTGGTTCTCCTCCTCACCCAGAATGCTGGGGTCCCTGCCCCACTCCCAGCCCCATATTGTCCAGGGTCCTCCGCTAACACATTCCTGAAGGCTCTTAAAGCACTCAGAATGTTCTGTGCAGCTACAGTGATGTGAGGGTGACTGAAGCCCTCCAGAAGAAGGCTTAATTGCTCCTCTGCAGGTGGTTGAGCCCTGCCCTTGCTCTGCCCTCATTCATGGCCCTCTTGAAATGGCTCTCTGAGGGTAATTATGCCATTAATTACATTGTGCTCCTCTGCAGGCTCAGTCTGAGGAGAGCTGTGCCCTGAATTTGCATGAAAAACACAGAACAGGACGAGAGATTAGTGAGCCCTTCGACGACGCATTTCTACACGCAATTATTACAGCGCCCAGGAAGGTGCCGGGCCTCCTATGACTTTCTGTGCTTGGCGCTCCCGGTTCATCATCAAATGGCTGAAAGTCGCTGTCAGCGGCAGAGGCCTTGTTAATAAAGAGACAGCTGGAGAAGGACCTGCCTCCCCCAGGTAATCAAGGTTAACAAGGTCTATTTGCTCTGAGGTTATCCTACATTGCCGACTGATTTTTTTCCCCTTTCTTTCTTCAAATGGCTGACAGAAACTGACAAAAGCGACGGGCAGCCAGAGTCTGGCTTGCTGAGATTCTGGCCTTCCGTCCATCTTCCCCTGATTATGCAGCAGTGCAACTCTGAGCAAAGTCATTTACAGCTTCAATTAAAAGGGAGCCCACTTAGCGTTGTGGAGAGGGAGGGCTGGTAATTAATGCTTGAAGGGGGTTTTTTTTTGGGGGGTGGAGGAAACTTGTCTTCAAAAGATGCTTTCAATAACTGTAAGAGGTGATTACTTTCCAAAAGTGTGCTTAAAAGCGTGTTACTTTTAAATTACCCTCTCAAGCCTTTTTTTCCTATTGGAAAAGGACTTCTCTGCTCTTGCTTGTAGGGGATACGCCACTATTCCAAGGGAGAGAGGGGGAGGCAGAGGGCGGATCCCCACTAAATAAATAGTATAGTGTAGAGTATCAGACTAGGACTAGCAGAGATTAGGGTTCCAATCCTCTACCTGCACAAAGCACACTGACCTTCCAGAGGTCACAAGCATGAGAGACGTAAGCTCAGAGCTGCTTGATTTCATGACAGAGGACTTATTTTGATAACATCCACACCAAGTTCCACTCCATGCCTTCGGGACAGCAAAGTCCGAACTCCGTATGCTTCAATTCATATGGGAAGATGACCGCTGGCTCTTTCTTGAGCTCATTCGCCACCAGCAGCATCCAGCACAATATATCTTGGGGTGAAAACATTTTCAGGAAGTATTACATGGGGACAGCTAAGCAATAGAAGGAGGGCTGCTGCTTATAGACAGGGCTGCTGGATACAATGGGCGCCACAGTGAAGAACTGAACGGGCTGCTGAGAAACGAGGAAAGGAATCAGAAGAGGAAGAAGAAAAGGGACGGGAAGAAACCATGATCTCTTCTTGACTGCCTCATCTCTTGTGGAGGAAAAAAAATAATACACGGGCTCTGTGATGCCCAGAAGTGCCTGGCTTCTCTGGCTTGATGTGTCCAACTGTGCCCATATTTAAAAACATCAAATCTGGGCCTGAGGGTGGGGTCAAAGGCATCATCACTCCGGAGTCCCTGTGCCCCTGAAAGAGATCTAAGTCCAGCTCCCCCTTGAAACCCAATGACTCTTATCTGGTGCCAATTCGCATTGACCGTTAGTAGATCAGATCCTTGTGTACAGGTGACATGGAATAAACTTGCATAGCTTTTTAACTTCATGCTGGTTCCTGGTTTCTTGTGCCTGACAGCTGCCCTTGGTTTAGTGGCCTGCGCAACCCCTGCCCTTGTGTGTGAGTGAAATGGCGGAAATGGTGCAATCCGCTTCCTTTTTCCACATAGTTCCTGAATTTCCACAGCCCAGGTTTGTTGTAATGAAAGAGAGGGCAAAGCACCATTTTTCCCAATTCTGGTTTATGTCTGATCACTGTTTCAGTTTTACCTGTTTATGCTTCGATTGAGTGATTTCGTAGTCTGCACAGAGTATGGTTCCTCATGGAATTTCGTGGCAGTTTAAACAAGTATTTTAAGAAACAAAGGAGAAAGAGAAAATGGAGGAAGCTTTGAGAGAAAGTTCCACTGATGGAAGAGGCTTCTCACTTACGTGGTCAATCAGTTCCCTTATCATGCCGTTCCACTGGCCCTTCTCATCCTGGGCTCCGTACTTCCCATCCTCCACCAGACGAATCTCATAGGAGAAGCCAAGGATGCGGGAGACTTCTGCCAGGAGGTCCACGCAGTAGCCTTCAAAACGCCTGTTCCCAGACAGAACTGTGTCTGACTTGGCAAACATGACAAACGGCTCTTCCTAATGGCCAGAAAAGATAACACAGCCACATGAAGAACATAGACACTGAATTCAACACACACACACACAAACACACCCTGAGCCAGGGAGTTATGTACCCCAACCGTCCAGCCAGCTGGAATGGCTGCAGCAGTATTTTCCAGCATTAACCTCCTAACCAACTTGATCATTAACACCCCCACATTCCAGCATTAGCATATGTAGAGTTGGCTGTGTTTTGCAGATTTGGCTGGTCAGATTCAAGCAAAGTTAAGCATTTTGAAATGTCACCAAAAGAACCCTGGCCTCTTACATTGGACGAAGACTCTTAGTGCTCAACTGAGAACCTATGGCAGAAGACCAGGCTGCTGGTGGACGTCTCACTTTATGTCCAGTCGCGCATTCCTCCCATATACAGATTTCTGCATCCATGAAGCTTTGCACTGTTTCTTCCCCACATTACATAGAAACCCACACTCAACTCAAAAAGCAATGCGTGTCTTGTGCTATCCAATAGCATGAGAATACTAGGGTCCAGACCAGACAGCCAAAGTTTGTGACTTGTTTCAAGAGTACAATAACTGAGAGAGGTGGACAGTATCAAAAACGATGATGGGGAGCCTGAACACGTGGCATAAAAACAGATCCCAGGTGCCATGAAATTGACAAAGGGGCCAGGTGTGTAGCCCATGTCTGGGGGCATCTGCAAACTCTTGGAGGTCCCCTGAACCTCAGGAGGCTCCAAAGCCCTCCACATTAACCACCAACAAAGCCGCCACGACTTTCTCTCTCTCTCTCTCTCTCTCTCTCCCTCTCTCTCTCCCTCTCTCTCCCTCCCTCCCCCCCCTTTCTCTCTACAAAAAGCTCTCTTCCCTCAGCACCCTTCTGGGAGGTCTCCAACACAGAGTCATTCCTGAACTCTGCAAGGCACATATTCACAGGCTGTTTCACAATTTATTACTGGAAATGGCCAGACATTCAATCTGCAAGCTTTCAAGGCTTGCTAATAAATTTATCAGCAAAAGTGCCCTCAATTCCAAGATCTTCACAACTCTTCTAGGGCCTGGGGAAAGCAGAACCGTCTGTTGGGCAACAAGAGGCTGCTCCCAACTCGTTGCTGCAATGTATGAGCAAAAGAGTGTGAAAGCGAGGGAGGGAGCGACTGGAGGCAGCCTTCTCCTCTCTTCTCTTTTTTTCCCCCCTTCTAGATTGCGGTTCCCACCAGAAACACTACTATACCAAAGCAGCAAAGAACCACAGAGCATCTCCATCTCTCCTCTCTCTCTCTCTCTCTCTCTCTCTCTCTCTCTCTCTCTCTCTCTCTCTCTCTCTCTCTCTCTCCCCCTCCCTCCCTCCCCCAGGGGATTGCCCTTGTTCTCATGTAAGGAAAACAGAGTCCCTACAAACATCAGGGATTCTACTGGCTTCAAATCTTGCAGATACGGAGGCTTCTCCAGCAGAAAGTGTCCCCAAGGGATTTCAGTAAGGAAAGAAGGAAAATCCAGCAGGGGTGGGAGGGGTGGGGTGGGGTGTCTGTTAGGTTTTCCCCTCTCTTGCAGCCTGACCATGACTGTTTTCGAGACCCAAGTTGGTTCTCTCCCTTCTAATGTCCCTTATTTATAGGACTTTGCACTTTGTTATCTTCTCCAATTTTTTCTCTTCTATTCTGCAGTCTCAGTGTGCTGCCGCATCCACTATTCAGACTTTTTTGTCTTTCTTATTGACCGTTGTTAAGTCTGATGTGTTATGTGGCAGGTGCTTGTCTCTTTGAATTCTAAAATTCCAGAGCATTTGTGCTTCTTCATTTTCTATGACTTTGTCTACTCTTTGGTCCCACTAACTCTTGAATCCAGTCAAGTGGTTAGGGGAAGACTATTAGCTGCTCAGCCCATTAAATTCTTCAGGCATATTTAGGAAACCATCTGGATTCAGGGTTGCTTGGAACAAACGATTTTAATCGCTCTCAGAGGTTCAGAGTAGCTGCCAGTCACTAAGTGAGCAGAGACCAACCTCCTATGGCAGCTGAGTTACAGAAAGTTGCTCCCGTCACCAGTTCCAGTCACCAGGAACACCCAGCTGTGCCTGACTGGGGGGAAGGTACCGACTGAGTTGGATTCATAGAAATCCTGAGCCACTCTTGGTTGGGTGGCCTCCATAAGGAGCCTAAAGTCCCAGGACAACAATCCACATTGCAATCCACTGGTCATCTCTGTTAACCCATGAAGAGAAATTCTTGGGCAGGCAAGAGTTTACACACTCCCTTCCTGCCTGGTTAGCCAGGGCAGCTCAGAGTTTAAAGTTTTGTTTATTTGTTTTTTGAGGAATGTATTTATCTCAGATCTGAAACAGTACAGGAAAGCAGAAGGATTACATCGAATGCCCAAGTAACCTACCAGAACTGTGGTGACCACCAAAGATCGGTTGGTCAGAGAATCCGTCACGTTGGGCCCCTGTTTTCGGGTGATTTCAGTGATGTTCAGCCCATCCGAGGGGCTCCACACGCCAACCTGGGATGGAAACAAAGGCTAAGAATGAGGAGAAACCCAACTAGAGCTTTTGGTCCTGAAAAAACAGGTGGCAAAAAAGGTGGTCAGATAGTTTGAAGGCCCTAAATCAGGGGTAGTCAACCTTGGCTCTTTTACGACTCGTGGACTTCAACTCCCAGAATTCCTGAGCCAGCTAAGCTGGGAATTGAAGTCCACGAGTCATAAAAGAGCCAAGGTTGACTACCCCTGCCCTAAAGGAAGGCACAGAAAACTACTTCCTCAAATGTTGACAGTAGCTCACCTATGTTTGTTCAGAGAGTATTTCCTTCGGCTGAAGGCAAATAGTTTGTATGTAAATAAGATAAGATAAGATAAGATAAGATAAGATAACCTTTATTGTTATTTTTTTACTGTGGGCACATTGGCACATATTAAAAATGAAATTTAGTTCCTTGCTCTCAAAAGTGTACACAAACATAACACACATTTAAACATGCTATATACAATATGTGAAGTAAAATAAGGTGATCACCAGGATAAAATCATAAACATAAATGTTTAATATACAAAACCAAGCTTTCGTGGGCCACACTACCGACATCATCAGGGTATAAAATGCTGGATCCGGGAGTCCATTTTTATGTGGCTGGCTGCCTCTGCGCTTTGATCCTGGATCGGGTCATAGGTCCGCCCATTAAAAATGGACTCCCGGATCCAGCATTTTATACTCTGACGATGTCGGTAGTATGGCCGATGAAAGCTTGGTTTTGTATATTAAACATTTATGTTTATGATTTTATCCTGGTGATCACCTTATTTTACTTCACATTATGTATATACCCGGGATTCGTGTTTTTAATACTATTAAGGATAATATACAATATATGTATAAACTTTCACCCTTACACATAAATAACATATAAATATTAATCACTGTCCAGCTTGAATACATAATGGAAAGAAGAAGCTTGAGAGTTCACAAGGTTAATGCTGTATGGAATGAAACTATGACTGAATCTGGACGTTTTGCTTCGGATAACACAGAGCCTCCTCCCAGAAGGTAACCAGGAAAACAGGTTGTGAAGAGGATGTGTCGTGTCCCAGACAATCTTGCGGACCCTGCTCAAGCAACGCTCCTGTGCTATGTCCTGGATGGAAGGGAGGGTACTGCCAATGATCTTTTCTGCTATCCTCACCACTCTCTGCATCACTTTCCTGTCTGAAGCAGTGGTGCTTCCAATCGTTTGTAATGATTTGACTGGGGTAGATGGGAATGGGAAGTAGAATATGGATTCCTTTTTTATCAAAATGAGAAAGAACAGAAATCAACTCGTCTCCTTTCTTAAATCTGCCCAGCAAAACCTCCTGAATCTCCAGGGGAAGAACTCTCTGGAATTCCTGCCCAGTCTTTCCCCAGATACTATGGTTTCACCAACAACAGCATCTCTCATCTTGGTTTTGAGCAAAGATCTCAACTTTCAGAGATTTCTCTTCCCTTCTTCCAACCAGGAATGACAATTGCTCTGCTCATTCGCAACTCTCCAACTTTCCTCTCCAGGACTTTGTTTTGCAGGGTTTTTTTTTGTTCCATTCTTCCTAATGTGAAAGAGGAGAAAGAGATTATAATGGGATTGATTATATGGATAAGCCTTGTGTCACATCTTTGATCTTTGCACCTGGGAGACAAGACAACTCTTGATAGGTTGTGGACAGGTTGTGCAGTCTACAAATTGCTGATTCTGTTCCTCTGAAGTGAGTCACCCATCACCTGCTCATGTCATTTCTCTTTGGGGAACTCATTCAGACTTGTCTTTGTGACAATCTGAGCTACTTTTTGTCCTCGTGGGAACATTTGATCCTCCAGATGTCTGTGTGTTTTCTTCCAGGGGGAGGATGTGAAAATGATTGTTCAGCTCCAGGGGCAGGGACACTCTCCTGGTATTTTTGTCCTCTGAGTGACATGCTGCCATCGGTCTGCCTCCAGGGCGTCCTTCTTTTTCTTGGAGTTGTATCTTCCTTGCTACATTTAGTTCAAATGCTGACTTCTGCTTTTCCAAGGAATTCCTCCTTTTCACAGGTGAGACGCAGAGTGGCTAGACATGCCCCTAGATCAGCAGCACCAAACCTTTGGGCACCAGGGACCAGTTCCATGGAGAGAGGGTTTCCCATGGACCGGAAGGGTGTGGTTTCGTGTGCTGCCTGCATCCTGCGGATGGGGCTTCGCTCCTTTGCGCTGCCTGGTTGCTGGCATGCTGTGGCCTGGTGCAAGTCCACAGACCAGGGGTTGGGGACTCCTGCCCTAGATCATCCATTTTCTCCTCTAGCAATCAGATCAGTTTGCACTTGATGCAGGTGTAATTTAAATCCTCCCTGGGCAGGAATACAAACATAGCACATACCTTGCAAGTCACTGCAGTGCTAGCTATGGCTTTGTTACTCTTCAGGATTTGTGCAGATACAAATATATATTTTCTTATAGACTTTCTGCTTTAGACTTTTAGTGGTAGGCTTTTAGGTCCGCGGGCTGGTAGCATGATCCACTGGATTAAGTCCCAGTTCTTTGCAGGTCATGGTCAGCAACTCCTTGCTCTCCCAGCAACCTTTGGCACTATGCAAACACAACCAGTGATTTGCAAGGAAGAGAGTTGTTACATTCAGCTATCACCGGGGCTTTTGCAATCAGATCATAGTTAATTGCCTCATTTTGAAGAGCGTCAGGATCCTGGGTTTCTGAACAGCCCTTTGATCTGTTGAGATGGGTTTGACTTACTTGGGGGCTGTTTCCTTGCAAAAACTGGAAATGTATACTTCTGCCTGGGAGCTGTCCCTGCCTCACAGATGAGCAAAACAAGGGGACCACTTGCTTTATTGTGTGTGTGTGTGTGTGTGTGTGTGTCACAAAGCTCCTTTGCTGGGCAGCTTTGCTTGAACATTCATTGAAATGACACACACACACACACACACACACACGGACACCCGAATTTGTTCAGTGAGCAGCACACAACCTCAGCTAGAGACACTTCAGATCCACCAACTCTGCTGCCAATAAGCATGATGAAAAAATAATGAAAGATGTGTTGCAGCATCACAACCAACCCCAGTCTTTGGTAACTGTGTCAGATGCAACTAGGGAACTCATGAGCTGTGGCAACATGTCATCTTTGCTCCCCCCCCCACCCCCAGGTTGGAAGGGCCAGATCACCTGGGGGTCAGGCGGGACCGGCGTCATCCGAAAACTGCAGTTCAGCCTTGAAACAAGTTGGTCTCTGAAAGGGCAGCTCTAATAAGCAGAAGACGTGGAATGTGTGCATAATGACTTCAAATGATCTTTCCAAAAATGTTAGGCGATACATCATCGGTGTCCATAAAGCTTACAAATGAGAAAGCAGAACGTATAAGATTTATTCCATTTTCTCAGACGGACAAAAGGATCCAATCTCAGTCAAACCACGCAATATTCAAAATCTTCTTTTTGAAAGAGTATTTTAGAAAGCCACCCTATCCGCCTGTTTATACAATCAACCACAAAAAAAAGAAGTGTGCAGCAATAAAGTAAAAGAGTTTAGTTAACACACTTTTTGGTTTGCTGCTTATCTGAGAACTACCCCCTCCCCTTTATCTGACAATAAGCCATGGGAGTAAAGACTTGTGGGTCTGATGGGAAGCAAAACACCAAGATTCCCCACTCCCCTCGCCTACAATGACTTCAGCAAGACGAGGCAGTCTCTGCAGGAGCCCAAAAGCTGATTGCATTCATTGTTGTTTTGCAAATCCCTAACACGATTCCCCTAAGAGCGCAGAATACGGCATTACCAATCTGCAAGTTGCAGAAAGCGAGAAAGTGCTAAACCCAAAACCTTAGCAAATGTAAAATACTGAACACAAGGCCCAAGTAAATCGACAGGGATTTGCTTTCATTTGGGACGCCATTAATTCACATTACATCCTGACAAGGCTGTAAGGCTGACTCTGCCGAGATTTGACTTGACGCAGCCACTTTAAAGCCTCTCCTGAGCTCGGAAAAAGCTTTAAACACACATACAGGAGGAGGAGGAGCGCCTGCAGGGGGCACAGCCAGGAAACAAGGAAAATGAACAAATGATTTTTGCTTCTTGACGGCAGGGGTCTTTCCGCTTCAGGTTGTGGTAAAGGAGGTGCCAAAAGGTGACCTGGCACCAAATGTCATAAGGGGGATTTTTTCCCCTCCCGCTACAGTTCATAGACACCCTTCACACAGGTCACCACTACAGGATGCCCGATGGGCACAAGGGAAATCCTGAGCCCCCAGGACCGATGGGGGTCGTCCAAAAGGGCCCCAGAATGACCTAGGCTAGATTGCCAGGTGTGTGTGTGTGTGTGTGTGTGTGTGTGTATCAACTAACGGGGGGAGGGGGGAAGGCCGCCTCCTTTCACCCCTAGGAAACATGCAAGAGTTTTCCAACCAATCTAGCCAAACCATTCAATGTTGATTCAATGCCTGAGCTGCAAGAAACGGTTGGGCAACCATCTGACTGCGATGGTCAAAGGTCTCCTACCTTCAGGAGGGGGTTGGACTAGAAGACCTCAAAGGTGCCTTCCAGCCCTAGATTTATATGATATTTTCTAGGCTGGTCAGAACTATGGAGCTGGAGAAGCTGGAAAAAACGTGATTGCTTAAAAAAAGCTTTGAAGAAAGATAAGCGTCTGAACCCAAGTTGGGGCCAACCCCCACGCATGCGAGGAACCCACGGCAAAGTAGAGCCCGCCATCTTGGGGGGAGGGGAGGCATTTGTTTCTCTGGGGACTCTGGCACATCTCCTCTCTCTGAAGCTGCCCAAGTGGGAGGTCCTGGCAGCCGCCCAGACCTTTCGTCAGAGGTGCCCAGAGACAAGCAAGCAACAAAGCCACCCACCTTTTCTAGCCCATCTTCCTTGAGGCTGATGACGTCCAAGTCGAAGTCCGTCCTGAGGCCGCTGGTTTTGTTGAAGGCAATTCGTCCCGTCAAGCCCTCCCACTGGGCCTGAAAGGCAGAGAGGAAGGAGTGGTGGGCACCAGGGAAGGAGGGGCGAGGAACACCTGGGATAAAGGAACTCTGCGCCAGGTGCGTAAGTCAGGAGGGAGCTGCCTCTTTCAGCTTCGCTAAGCCCTTCGCTGCTTCCTGTTCTGCAAAACTGGGGAGAAATCCATACCCCACCCCCTCCCTTTAGAAATGGCCAATGCTCACTGCTTCTGGCTCACTGGAGAGGGTGATGAACTGTTGCTGGACTCTGAGCCCCGAAGGGGGGAAAGTCTTTGGAGCTTGGAGGAAAAGCAAGGAGCCCCTTCCAAGCCATCCCTAGATGCTCCTTCCAAGACCAGCATTCCTTCTGGAGCTATCCAGATGATCCATTAAGGACTGGGGGGTGTCATGGCCTCTTCTCCCCTTCGCCCTCCATAATGTTATCATCCAAATCACCCTGGCTTCATCCTGCAATTCCATTGGGCCAATGCAGAAGCAGACTTTCTGCAGGCTGGGTGCCCGTGTTTTTGTGTGTGTGTGTATGTGTGTGTGCAGACTGCTCAAATCAAGCTCTGTACTGGCAGTGAGGCTAGAGATTTAGTGCAACCAGTCCTGGCTCACGCAACTTAAAAACTGTTCTGGGCCTTGGTTTGGTATCTGCTGCTCCATCCCAAGCTGGTCACGGGCTTCCATTCCTGGCCGTGGGTGTGGAGAGGTCCGACCTGAGCCTTGGAAAGCTAGATGAGCAATCGCTGCCATAGGGGCAGGTTCTTCTCCAGCAGCCCAAGGCAAACCTCTTGGTTGTGGCCCCTGAGGAGCGGCAGCAAAAAGGGGCTGATGAGAAAGAGGGAGGCCACACAGGGACACTTCTTCTACACTGTCACCACAGTAGAGGTGGGCTGAGGAATTCTGGGAGCTGAAGTCCACAAGTCTTAAAGTTGTCAAGACTGCAGACCCCTGAGCTAGAACACAAGGAAGCAGGAGACCCTGGGATAAGACTGAACCCAGAGGAAACACGACAATTTTAAGAGCATCCAAAATAGCCCTTGAATCCAGATTGTCTGGGAACTGGGAAGAAAGCAAGAAAAACATTCAGGCTTCTGAATTTCCTTTCTGGCTTTGAGCCCAAGTTCTATCCTTGCTCACTGCTCGGTAGATTGTGAACTGTACCTTGACCAGCCTGAATTTTGCTAACATCCCTTGGAATTCTATGGTGAAGGCAGCAGAGAAGACTCTATTTATCAGTTGCCTCCCATTATATGGTTCCTTTCAAAACTAGCTGTAAGAAAAAAACGAGAGGAAGCCAGGAACGCACATCCCCCCCCACACACACCAGTGGAGGCAATTAATTAGCCCAGGTTGGAACAAGCTTTCTTTAAAAGACTGTTCACTAAAGTTGTACAGGAGGTCATCCGTTGACCAGTTGTCAGAACAGCCCTGCAGCAGGTCATATTCTGAACGCTTCACTCATAACCAAATAGCGAGGAAACTGGCAGCTGTGTCCCACACCTCCTGCTCCTTGACAAGCAATTGTGAGTAGCCCGCCTTCTTCTGACCCTGAAAGTAATGAGTGCAGCCTCCTTACAAGTAATAGCACAGCCATCTTTCTCCATGACACGGATGAATTGTTTTTAAAGCTTTTCAAGTGGCTGGACATCTCTCCACCCCAAGGCAGAAGCTCCACAGCTTGTGAGCAACAATATTTCCTTTCCAGCCAGAGCCATTTCTCTCTGCTGGCTGGTCAATGACACAAGTTAGTCTCTTTCTCTCTCTCTCTCTCCACATTGTGCATAATTTTACATACCCGTATCGCTTCATTCCGATTGCCATTGCAACCAGCAGCCACTTAAAGCCTGATCGTCTACTCATTTTATTACCATTTGGCGATGATAAATCAAGCCCGAGAAACCACAAGAAAGCCTCGGGAGACCCCTGGGTTACAGTGATTTGGCAGCAATGTCGTCTGGTGTTCCAACGAAAGGGACATGAGTCAAGCGTAGCATTTTGAGAAAAAGAGAATTTTCAGGAAAGGAATCTGCGTAGGCCAGCCCATTCAAAGGAAGCTGGGTCTTAATCCAAGGACAAATGTTTGCACAGGCTGACTCCCTGTCTTCTGTCTTTATGTGCCTGCCTGCAGGAAGCACTTCAATTTTTCATGCACACAATTGTGGGGTCATTGCAATGACCTCCTCAACCATCTGAACAGTACTTGAGCATAGCTGCTGCTCTCATGGCAATTACTTCTACTTGAGCCAGCAGGGACCCTTTGAAATTATGCATCTGGCGGAGGGTGACAAGTGAATTAGTGGGCCCTATCTACAACTGAGAGGATTGAGTCTTGCTTGCTTGAGAAACGTCAGGATAAATATCTAGCTGGCTAAACAAACCAGGCCAAGGAGTAGCTCCACTAGAATGTTCCTTTCATTTTCTAAAAAATGACCTGGTGACATGAAGCATTACTGCCTATGAGTCCATGCCTGGGTTTCTAACAGCCCAGCCCCAGCCCCTCTGTCCAGTCCCTGTTAGAACCTGCCATTCCGAGGGGAGGGGAGATGAAGGAAGTAGAAAATTTACTGCTTTGCTTTGATGTATCTGTATGGGAATTTGGGAGGGAGGGAGATGGGCCATAAGGGCTATCTGGATGGACTCCTATTCATCCAGTTCCAGCCTGTTATTAAGGTCGCAGCACCAGGAAGACAACTGATCACCTTCTCCTCTGGGAGTTCTCTTAACACCTTCACACCAGCAGATTGGCTCCTGGCTGACTGGGCCACTGGGGTGGGGTTTACCTATTGGGGGATTCAGCTTAATGATTTGAGCGGGAACTTCAGATTCCGCCTGACTTCCTTGCAATCACTTTCTCTCAGTAACAGTTCCTTTTGAAATAACACTTTCCTGAGAAGACAGCCGAGGCAGGACCTTACACCCTCTCTCTGGGGCTGCCTCCTCCGCAACATCTGCCAGAGTCCAGGGCTCTTCTTACCTCTTTGATAAAATTCATAAAGCGCCCACCAAATCGCCAGGCTTTGTGCCGATGGCACTGGAGAGAGTTGACTGTCATTTGAGGGGCCCGCTGGTAACACACAGAGACGATGTGGACGGCGTCATACAACAGGGCAGCGTCTGTCTAAAATGAAGGGGGACAGTAATTGCTTTGACCACATGCAGCCACTCTGAAAACCATCCTCTCCCCCCCCCGGTCCCCAAACGTCCTCTCCATTCTATAGGGCCGTTAAGGCCGCTGCGATGAGCCACTGCTTCTACCTGAAAAGCCTGGGATTGGGCAACCTGCCTTGCACCCAGACTTCCAGGAAATCATCCCGAATCCAGGATAATATTAAGAGGAAAAACTCCCACCGGCTGCAGCCTGCAAATTGGTCAGACTCTTCTTCTGACGAAAGCAGAGGGCACTAAAAACTTTTGGCGCAGCCTGGCAGAAGCCGAAGGAGCTGCAAGCCTTTTCCGATTCTTCACCCATAGAAAAAGGACTAGGAGTTCCTAGTGACCGTCGTACCATCATGACCCCTGCCATCAATCCAGGCTCCAGTCTGGGGGCCGTCTGCAATCTCTCCATGGACCATTTATCGATGATGGCAGACACCTGGGGATTTTCCACGTTCAAGATTCGGAAGCCGGTCAGGTTTACTCCAGAGTAGCGATATTGCTCAAGATCGATTGCATACAGATCCTGTTGGGGAACAAAAACCGACCCTTCGTCTCTGCGCTCTGCCTGCTCTTCTTTTGGAACGACTGAAGGTGAAAACTCTTGCAAAGTAGGAGGAAAAGAAAGGCTGCTGAGAAATGTCATCCACGTTTCTGAAATTTGGCTTTTGGGAGAATTCGTAGATGCTTTCTTTGCCTGAGCAAACAACCTTAAAATTTAGGTGGAGAAATCAGTATTGATTCCAATTAGGAAGCATATCTCAGCCAAGAATCAGTTAATTGTGATGATTAATTGAGGACAAGGAGAAAAGATAAAATATTGGAAAGAAAAATGGATGAATGGGAAACGGCGATATTAAGTCTTGTTGCTATTAACACTCGCAGAAATCAAAAATTGTGGGAAGGGCCAAAGTAAATAGAAAAGCAGGTCTTCTCTTGGGCGCCTGAGACACAGCAGTGAACCTCTAGCCCTGGAAATCCTCCTCTCCATGTATGCCTTATTTATTTATTTAGCGTATGGTGATATACACAGATTAAATATAGATTAAAAGTAACACGATAAACTGTGAATGTTAAAAAGATCTGTATTCAGATACCCCAGTCTCTAGGCTATCCAACCACTGAAGCGCAGCATCGTTTATATGAAAAAAAAAATCAGATACTAGACTGGTGTACAGGTCGTCCTCAATTTATGAGCACAATTCAGCCCGATATTCCTGTTGCTAAGCAAAACAGTTGTTCAATGAGTTTTGCCCCATTTTATGAGCTTCTTTGCCACAGTTGTTAAGTGGATCAGTATTAACAATGTGGTTGTTAAGTGAACCTGGCTTTCCCCACTGACTTTGTCAGGAGGTTGCAAAAGGGGATCCCTTGAGCCCGGGATGTTGCAACAGTCATATGTCCATGTCAGTTGCCAAGCGTCTGAATTTCGGTAACGTGACCAGGGAGATGCTGCACCGGTAAGTGTGAAAAAGGGTCCTAAGTCACTTTTTTCAGTGCTGTTGTAATTTCAGATGGGCACTAAATGAGCAGTTGTAAGTCGAGGACTATCTGTGTGCCCTCAGCTTACAGCCAGTCACAATATGATCTACAGTTTAACACGGGATCCCCTGTAGGCCCCTTTACCCCCGTGTGCAGGCATTCCTCGACTTACCACCACAACTGAGCCCAACATTTCTGTTGCTAAGCGAGACATGTGTCAAGTGGGTTTTGCCCCGTTTTGCGACCTTTCTTGCCACGGTTCTTAAGCAAACCACTGCAGCTGTTAAATTGGTCAAACTGTTGCTCAGTGAACCTGGATTCCCCCTTGACTTCGCTTGTCAGAAGGTTGCAAAGGGGGATCACGTGACCCCCCCGGACACTGCAACCGTCGTAAGTATGAGCCAGTTGCCAAGCATCTGAATTTCAATCCCATGAGCATTCAGTGTGGAGTGGCAATAGCAATAATAGCACTTAGACGTGCAGACCGCTTCACAGAGCTTCCAGAGCTTTCCAGCCCTTGCCTTTTAATCATATATTATTGTTTTAATTGGTTTTTTTATATTACTATTTTATAGGGTTTTTTTTTTACTGTAAGCCACCCAGAATCATGGTCTGAGACAGGCGGCAATATAAATACGATAAACAAATATGAAACCAAGATCTTGATTACCATCTGTAATGAAAGTAATTAATAATTACAAGCTATCCTTTTCAGAAAGGTGGCATCATACAACAGCCACAAGGGGATTTGGGGGGGGGTGTTTAACATTTACTAGAACGCTCATTATGTGCCTCTCACTTTTTTACCATTTAAAAAAAAATCTTTTCATTACCTCCTTTATTTACATATAATAATATTCCTACCTACCACTTTTCTTACTTTACGTGGTATGATTTAAAACCTTAACCCCGTTAAATACATTTGTTGATTAAAAGTTCATGTTGTATTTTAGGACCCCATTTATCCTGACCTTTTCTTTCTCAGCCTACCAAAAGCTGCTGCTCTCTTCAGTCCCGACTCCGCTCCCAGCCTCCTGGGAATTCCCAAAGATTTGCCCTGGCTTTCCTCTCGGAAATAGTCAGAGCAACACTGCCAGGCAGAGGGTGGCACGGTGGCCACCCGGATCAGGCAACAGCTGTTCTTCCCATTCATTTGCCAAGCTAGTCATTTAAAATGAGAAATAGCTAGTGGGTAAATCAACGAAACAAAGTGGGGGCATCCTTCAAAAAGCTGCACTGTGTCAACATACACTAAAATGCATGGTTTACTTCGGCACCAGTAAGGAAGAGGTTCTCAGTTTTGTGAGGCCAGAATCAACCACCTTCTCAAACAGGACTGTCTTGTTTTCATCATCTTGGCATTGTTTTACTGGCTCATTGTTGAATGTTATATGTCTATAATCTGAAGGTGCTTCTGACACGAATAAAGAAAGATCACCTTGGCATCACAAACTCAGCAATCTGCTCTAAAACTGTCAGGCTGTGGGGTAGACAGAATCTTGCCAGAGTCGAGTGAGTCTGCTTGCATACCAATAGATATCCTCTGTGAACTGCCAGAGAGGGGCTGCCTTCACCCTCTTCCCGCCTCCCAGACTTTCCAAGCTCTGCTTCCTCTTTGCCCTCTGGAAAGCAGCCCCCCCCATTTAGGAATCCAGACTATGTTACGACACAAAAATACAATTTAAATTGTTAAACTGAAATCCTCAAGCAATATGGTGGCCTTGGGATGAAAGACGAACGGGAAAGGTACTCCATACAAGGACCTTCCTTTTAGCTGGTAGATATATTTCTATAATAAAAGCTTAGAAAATTTGGCCCTTTACCCAGAAAGCAGAAGATAGGAGAGGTATCTTGATATCCCTCTTAAGTGTGTGTGTATGTGTGGTGAAAGAACGCTTAAAGAGGTTTTATCCCATTTACCGTACTTTCCGGCGTATAAGACGACTTTTGCAAGCTTTAAAATTGGTGCCGAAGTCGAGGGTTGTCTTATACGCCGAGTCCTCTTATACGCCAGAAATAACGGTAGTTTCCGGCATATAAGATGACTTTCTAGGCATGCGACTTGGCGCTGAAGACGGGGGTCATCTTATACGCCGGGTCACCTTATACGCCGGAATATACGGTAACTTCATTTTGCTTCTAATATTGCCGATATGGTACATAGCTAGACAATATTGCTTCTGGAAGGTTGTGGATTGTTGGTTTTAATTCTTGTATTCTCTTTTCATTTATTATTTATATCATGGATTTGTAATGGTTTACTACACGGAGAGCTGCACGATTGTGAAAAATTAAAATAATTCCAAAGTCCCTCCTGAATAAGATGCATCAGCTACAACCCAAAATTTGCTTTGGCTTTGACTCGGGATGCTGCAATGCTTCAGAAAACAAATAATTATACATGCATACAACAATCTGGGAGAAACTTTCATTCTTAAACCATAATTATGCACATCACGTTTTATTTAAAAACAATCAATAGAAGTTAAATGCTTCATTAGATGCTTAATCCCCAGTATTTTCAGTACAATTAGAGTTCAGATATACACTTGTCTTGCCTGCCTGCCTGCCTGCCTTCCCACTGCTCTAGGTGGACAAGTGGCTTTTTACGAAGCCTGGTGAAGGACCCAGCAAGGTTTTGGCTTTGCCTGGATGCACAAACCCGAACCCTGATGGAGGCATTCTGGGCTTTCCCTCCTGCTGTCTGGATAAGCCAGCTTTTCAGGTGGAAAAGGTGGCTTTGGCTTGGCTAAAAGGTCAGCAACAGGACTGACCTGGAGAGAGCATTCCAAAGATAATAGTTGGCTGGATTAGATCCACAGATGTCACCTGCTGCAGCACAGACATCTATGGGGCAATTGAGGACATCCTGGCATGGAGATGCAAACCCTGCCACTGTTAAACTGACACCACAACACCACCACCACCAAAAGGCAGGGCTTGCATTGCAACAGCCTGTGGGCATCGCTACGTCCAGGAATGGCACCTGGAATAAAAGAATAAGAATTGCTCTTCTGCTGCTTTGGGCTCAGTAAATCAGCAAGAACTGCTCCATCTCTGATTGGCTGATTCCATCTTGCCCAGAGTCTGCCCAGAGACTTCTGAACTGGCAAAGCCAAGGGATGACGCGCCAAAAGTCCCCTTGGTCTTCTCTAGGGATGTGAAGACTTGCAATGTGCAAGCAAGGCTGCAGACTCTCCGGTCTCCTGTAGAGAAAGGAAACTCGCAGGCTTTTTAAACCAGTACATGAACTGAAAGGCAATTATATTTCAATAGTCACATTTATTCTGCATGTTACGGTTCAATTCTCCAATGAAAGGAAGTATGTAAAAATGCATAAACTAGGGCAAAGCGTGTATAAAATGCAAACTGAACTAAGATGTTTTCAAAAAAGCAGACGTGAACAAAACTTTAGGAAATGCATTGTGTCCTGGAAAAACTTAAAGTAAAATGGAGGTAGGGGTACCAGAGATAACAACATGTCGACTTTAACCTCAACTTCATATTCCTTCTACTTCTAACAATCTTAATCTTTAGTCCATACATATAAAATGCTAGAACTTGATTTCTTTTAATTTCTTCTTTCTCTCTCACAAAAATCTTCAAACCTGTAACAAGCCTTTTTTGTAAAGCCAATGTAGAAAACCTATCCAGGTCACTCTTCTGTTCTGTTACTTGTTTATTCCTTTTAATTATTATAACATTCACCAGCTTCTATTGTATGTCCAGAGTAATATCTTTTTTGATGTCATTCTTGTAGTTTTTTTTTTTTTTTGTAAATGTACTTTCAATTCAGTCTCAATCTTGTCAGGTCAAAGGTGTTCCTCTTCCATAGAGGTAGGTGTGTCTGTTGATATTATTAAAATTAATGGCTTTCAGAGGAAGAAGTGGCAGATTGAAGACAGTTCTGAAAAGCAGAGTTGGCAAATGAAATAGAAGGAACAGTTGGCACGTAGTAGACCATCTTTAATCATCTTTTCAGGAGAAGACTTAAGATTGCCAAAAATTGCTCCAGACAGCTGCTCCTCATGGAGAGAGCCCACGACAGGGGTCTCTGGTGGGTTTAGACCTTTTGGAGACAAGGGAATAGCCACCTTGCTCAAACCTACCATGGTGCCCTTGAAAGGACACTAAGTGTAGATGGCCGAGCCCAAGGGAGGGGTCAAACACAACATCAGTCTCAAGTTCCTTTGCACCCACAAGAGTTCTAAATCAAGCCCACCTTGACTTCCACTGACTCTTATTTACCGCCAATTTGCTTTGGCCATTAGTAGTTCAGATAAGCTTGCAATAAACCTTAATATTCATTTGAACTGTCTGGACTTCTGATTTCCTGCACTTGACACTAGGTTTGTATACTTCCTTTTCTAATTAGTTTTGGAAATTGCTTCTTAACTCTCTTTCAGCAGTAGAAATCTTTGGATCGACAAATTTGATAGCAATGGGGAAGTTTTATTCAGTCCTTAGTGAAGGAAAGTTTTAACTACAAATTTAAGAACTTCCCATGGGAAATACGTTTGTTCTGATTTAAAATAATAATATTAAGATTGTAAAAATTGGGCACCAGGGGGAATTAGAGGAAAGACTGCAATTAAAGGAGAAGAACACATCAATTTGAATTACAAGTACAAAATGAAGCAAAATATCCTAACACTGAACATACTGAAGGACATTTTTGGGCAATGGACTAGCAATCTCAATTTTAATGTGTTGAATAGTTGCTTACACTAACGAATCCTCTAGTTGAGCTTCTTTTGAATAATAACCCTTGATCCTAACATAGTATTTATCATGTTGTGTGAACAGTTCAGTGTCTACCTTTTCCTACTGAATCAAAAGAAACGCCTCCTCTTTGAAGGATTGGTAGCTAGGATGACACATCTGATAAATCTTATACCTTGAAATTCACACTTAAATCTTACTAGAGTCTATGATAAACTGGTGCAAAATGTCTTTGGCACATCACTGGACTTCTCAATCCCTATGTTAACATCTTATAGGCGAGCTAAATTTGTAGGCTGTAATGAGTGAGGTATGATCTTTTGGTGATGTTGACAAAAAAAGTCTTTATGTTCAGACAGGTCAGAGAAGAGGAGAGTGAAACATCCAGCATCCCCCCCCCCGGCAGGCCCCCAAATCACCTGACAAACTGCCTGAAGAACTTCACCTGCGTTAGTGGCCTGTGTGATTTGTTGCCAGATGTGACGGCCCACTGGGTAGTTCTGCTCTATGCTACTTACTAGATTTTAGGATCACAGTTCACCCCATAATTCTGAATGTGAATTAGTTCTCTCTGTAGGATGACGATCAAGGGTTCGTGATTGGTTACACGACCAACTTTCTTCCATATAGAAAGAAATTAAAATATTTGAGTCCAAGCAGCATTCCAACATATTGGATTTTTTTTTTTCAATCTGACCATAGATTCATGAAATGAATGTCTTGTTGCAGCATCTTTTTTCCTGGAATAAAACAGCACTCAAGCTATTCTTGAATTTTTGAGACATTATTTACCTTTCCCACGAACCTCTGGGCTTGTTTTTAGCACGTCAGTTTTGGCACAACTGCAACTGCCTTTACTTTCACCTTGTCTGATTTAATGCCCTCCTTAATTAATATTCCTACAAAATATTATACTTCTTGTACTTTAATATTGGAGAACCTGTTTGTTTTTCAGTTTCCATCAGCGTCATGTGGGAGTGCCTTTGTGTATATCCTGATTCCTGGAGTGCCTTTCATCAATTGTGTGGTGCAATGAAACACTTCAGGCCCAGAACACAACCCACACTACCCTCCTGCATTAAAAGTTGATCTAAGGTATTAAAAATACATACTGGCAGCTATGTACTTTTTTCATCCATTAGTATATATCAAAATTTAGCTGATTCATTTATCTTTGTACCTGCAAGTTCAGCTAAGAATGTCTATGGAGATTCTGCTAAGAATATCAGGCTATTATAAGACTCTAGTTGAATATATTTGTTTAATTCTTTGCAGTCTGGGTGAATCCTCAGATTTCCATCGCTCTTGTGAGTTAAAGCCATGGAATTTCTCCTTCAGTTGCTTCTTCCATCCCCTCATTTCCATTCTGCCCAGTTCTGCTTTTGGCTTTGTTTTTGATGCTGCTGATATATTTCTCCTAGCACACCCTGAACTAATTTTCTGCAGCATAGCTTTAAAACGATCAGGTTCAGCCGTACAACTTGGTTTTAAATGCCTTGCAAAAAGCCAGCATGTTCAGTAGCAGTCTGATCTCCAGGGGCTGGCCTCAGAGTCAAAAACCTCCTCTTTTCCTGGATCCTGCCAGATGGTTCTCCTTCATAGACAAGACCTGGAGCTTGCCTCTCCTGTTCAAGCTAATGGGCCAGGTAGATACCAGTAGGGAGAGAAAGTCCCATAGGTCACCTGGCTCAAGCCGCAAAAGGTTTTATAGATGGTTCCCAGCACCTTGAATGGACCCAACTTCACAAGGAAGCCCACATGTGCTGGATGACCGGCACCACAAGTGCGCCTGCTGCTGTGTTTTGCACCAGCTGCAGCTTCTGAATATTCTCCAAGGGCAGCCACCGGCGGAGAGCACTGCAGCAATCTGAAGCATGAGTGCCTGTGAGCAGGACCTACATCTTGTCTACCATTCAGCTTATATTTCAGGGAAACGGGTCTTGGTACAGTGGTTTATCTGAACTTTTATTTTCATTATTTCCGGCTGCCCAGAGACACCGGCTTCCTTATCTTCAGGTTTGACTTCAGAAACCAGGTTCCAGCTGAGGCTATCAGAGAGTTGCAAAAGCTGCTCCGGAAAGATAACAATAGCAAAATATCACTTTACTGGCAGGGCTGGGTACGGGGGGGGGGGGGGGGAAGGATGTAATTTTAAAAATTAAATGTGTTGCTTCCATGGACACGTTTTGCTCTTGGAGATAAAGTCAGGCCCCAGCAGACCCCAGCTGAGGTTATGGGGCTGGAAGTGACAAAGTGGGACAACAAGAGAAACTGAGGGGATTTTCTCTTTCAGGTTTATTTCCCAGATGGCCAAACGAGGTGCATTTCTTCAACTAAGGGGGCATCCCACTGCCTCTGTGAGAGATCCCTCCGCGTCTCTTCCTAAGCTATTTTCCTTTCCTTGACCCAAACTAGAAGCCTCCTTGCAGCAAAGCACAGAAGAGAGATAGTAACTCCAGACACAATACAGGAAATCCTCAACTTACAGCCATTCATTTAATAACGGTCTAAAGTTAGTTACAACCACCTTGGAAAAAGATGCTGACAGCCTGTCCTTGAAATTATGAGCATCGCACCCTCCCTTGGTCGCATAAAATCGCAATTCAGGTGCTCGGCAACTGACTTGCATTGGTGACAATTGCAGCATCTTGTGGCTATGCTACATGATCATGATTTGTGACTTCCCCTGCCAGCTTCTGACAAGTAAAGTCAAATGGGGAAACTGGATTTGCTTAACAACCACACAATTCATTTAAGGACCATGGGATTTGCTGTCAACCCTCCCAGGTAAACCAGACAGGAGACACGATCAGATGAACTGATTTTATTTTATGGTAAGGCTGATGTAGGAGATGACCAGGCTGAGTCCAAAGGGGGGGGGTCAAGCGTGTCATGAGTTTGGGATCTCTATGCCCCCAAAAGAGAACTAAGTCCAGCCCCTTTTGAAGACTGTTGACTCTTATCAGGTGCCAATTTGACTTGGCCGTTAGTGGATCAGATTCTTCTATATAAAAATCACATGTGCTTTTGAACTCTGTCCTGGCTCCTGGTTTCCTGAGCCTGACAGCTACATTACCACAGAATCTAACAAGTCTGAAGGCACAAACTCCCCCCCCCTCCTCTTTTAACTGCTTGATGCTTCTAAATTTCTTCCTCTGACTGGGACTCCCCCCCCCTTCTTTGTTTCCCAGCTAGCATCTCTTCCCTCATTCCCCAAGGCTATCTGCAGATTCCATTACATTTGCTCAGTCTGTGATAAAATTGATCGCAAAATTGGCTCTGATTATGTGTAAGAACCACATTGCTTAGTGACTGAAATTGTGGGCCTCATTGTTGTCATAAGTCAAGGACTAAAAACTGCACCAAAGTCTTTTCAGTGGATGTTGGGATTCTGATGGGAAAATGTATTCTAGATTTCTTTTTTTCCTATACAGTATATATTCACAGATAAGCTAGAGTATATTCAATATTTAAGAGTTTACTCTGTTGGCCAGATTAAATCTGAACCCAAGATCCACTTCAGCACATTTGTTTTCGGAATGCCTGTACTCATTCACAAAAATATTGCATGCACAATCCTCATTTCTTTGTCGCTCAAGAACATCTTCCTCTCTCTGGCCCTGACTAGGCTGGCTTCCTCAGAGACTGAGCGTGATCAGACTCAGATTGTGGAAGGCAAGGCTGATAAATGAGTCAAGATACGTTACCAGTGTGGTGAAGATGAAGTGGTAGTATTCTGTCATCATCCCCATCGCCATGGCCTGGGAAAATGCAGAGAGGGAGGTTAAAAGACCACCTGGGAAATAGGATCCGAAGCACCCAAGGTTTGATCAGAAAGGACCACTTTGCTGATGGACAAGCAGTCCCTGGGAGCTGAGATCATCCCTTTTGTTAAGAGGACCAATGCTGGTCAAGAGTCCATGTTTGTTAGGCTTGAGGACCACTCTTGCAATATGAAACATCTCCCAGAGGTTTGATTGCACCATTACGGTTGCCATCTTGACAACTACAAAGGGATTAAGAGCCAAACTGGATCAAAAGGCTAAGGTTTATGAGAAGAACAATGAGATAGGGCCAGATTTGGTTCATCATGTACAGAACAGCTAATTAAGAAATAATCCTAGGTCTCTTCTTCATCAAAGTGAGGAAACTCTAGTTAGAAATGTCGATGAAGATTTTCAATTGTCTGGAAGTTGAGTCATGGCAACTGGACTCGTTGGAACGTACCAACTCATCCAGCTTTCCTCCTGCAATATCTTCCATGAATTGGGGGGAGGAGGGGGGCAGGATGTCCAATTATTTCCCCCATGTGGCTCAGGGAAGCAACTTTGGCCGTTCTTTCTTTTTAATACCAGGGGAAAACAGTACATTCCTGCTCAGCTGAAGCCTATAAGGGCAAGATAATGGCACATTTACTGTGTGGTACACAACTGGGTCCCTGCCCCATTGGGAGAGGGTGCAATCTAAATCCCTAGGACTGATTCTGTGAGTTCCTTATTGTGCACCCAATATTGCCATAAGATTGGAAATGGAGGTTATAAGTCGACAACTGGGTGAGACCAAGCCTGAAATGCCACAAATGGTCCAGGGTGTCCCATTTCCAGAAGGACATTGACAGGATAGGAGGGACTGAGAAGAGGGCAACGAAGAGAATTCAGGGATTTGGGGGCACGCTTGATAAGGACAGGCTGAAGGAACCTCGGATGCTCACCCTGATGAAAAGACAACTTAAAGGAGACACGAGAGCCACATTCGGGTACATGAGGAGCTGCAAGGAAAATGGACTATCAAGAACTATTTTCATGATGAAAAAACCAGGAGCAGAAATTACAGATATATGTTACAGCTGCTCCCAGACCTGGCTCCTCATTCTACTTCTCATGTAAGCTTCAAATTGAAGCCAGGATGGCTAGCAACTGAAAGACTGAACTGCAGTCACAAACTTGGGCTTCATCACTGAGTGAAGATATGAAAAGTACTATCAGAACTGCAAGGCCTTGTAATACACACACACACACACACCCTACCTGCTTGAGGATATGCACAGCCATTGTGTGGGTGCAGTCAAAGATGATCCGGAACTCTCTTCCCCGCTTCATCTCCTTGAGCAGAGGCCGGGAATCTTCTGTGTCCAGGGGCAACTGGCGTATTTTCAAACGGATGTTGTATCTGGATGGAGCCATTATCAACTCCTGTAGCCGGATAAGGCCTTGGGGAAGACAAGGACAAACACAACATAGGAGCATGAGTTGTGTCGGCATTCTGACCCATGCCACCGCTTCCCAAGCAAGGACGTCCAGAGAGACCAAGGAAGTACAGGGTCGTGAGAGGACAGAATTCCTTCATTGGAGAACTCCTGGTGTGCCGCAGACTGATCCAGGTTGGTGAATCTAGCGCTTTGGATTATGCAGGGCAAATCCTTCCTGGGAAGTATCACAAAAAGACATCTCCCCAATGCCAGATGGATTTGAAATTTCGGACAAAGGCTCATTGGGGGAAATTTATTCCATTGTACAGAAGAACAATCTGCAGCTGCAATTATGCTATTGTGTCATCCCAAAACAATTCAGAAAAACACCTGCCCAGATAAAGCATTGCTGAAGTCTACATAGGTGAACAGGCTTTGCAATTACAGCTGATAGCAGCAGCAGCAAGTTTAAGCTAAGGAAATGAAAGCTGAGAAGAATAAGAGGGATTAAACAGCATCTAGGACCAGAAGCAATCCCAAAAATGTCTGCGTGCTGTTGGCTCAAGTATGTCCTAGATCAGGGATAGGCAACCTTGGCTCTTTTATGACTCGTGGACTTCAACTCCCAGAATTCCTGAGCCAATATAACTCAGCATGGAAACCTCTCCCTGTCCCCTCAGCATGGCTGGTTTAGGAATTCTGGGAGTTGAAGTTCATGAGTCATAAAAGAGCCAAGGTTGCCTACCCCTGTCCTAGATGGAGGAATCACCTGTTCTCTCTCCTCTGGGGAAAGAGAGCAGAATTGAAGCCTCCCCTGTTTGAGATCTGAAGGAGGAAGCCCAGGCTAGCAGTCAAAGTGGCTAGGCAGAGCTTCACCTGAGGGCGGTCATCAGACTGCTCTGAGAAAGACAAAGGCCATGCACAGCCTTTCCATACTGCAGCCAAGGCGAAACATTACCACGGAGACCCAAAGGTGTTTTTTCAAAAGGCAACTGGCCTTTGCTTTTCCTTGAAGAGGTTTTGCTTCTTCAGTTCATGGCAACACAGACAACCATGACCTGGATGAACGAGATTCCCACATTACCACGGAGACCCACTAAAAGAAATGAAAGCCTTCCAGCAGACTGGAAGAGGCCACCATTATTCTTTACTATTCTAGTAGCACTTGTTTTGCAGCCGCTCCAAAGTGAGTTAGAAATATTATTTAGTAGCACGTTGATGTTATTTTGATACTACTTATTTATTTATTCAATTTATTGACCGCCCATCTTACCCCAAGGCAACGCTGGGTAATATTAAAAAGATAAAATTTTACAAAACCTACACAATAGGAATTAAATAATAACAAAGATTAATACTTGACCCTAACTAAAAGATGGGGAGGGAGGGAATAGGACGAGCAGGGTGTGAGAGAGGTCTGTTCTTAGTCTAGCAACCATCCCAAAGTGAAGCCCCCCAATTGGAGCCCCAATGGCACTTTTTAAACAATTTGTTAAAATGTGTCATGATTTAAAACAAGCAATTCTCAACTGCCCCCACCCTACAATCAGTGAGGAGGCAGTCAAGAAGAGTTTGTCAGGTGGAATCTTTTTTTGTGTTCCTAGAGAAAAAGCTCTGCTCTGGGACTCCATGACAGGAGAGAACCTCCTGTATGAGGGGGAGACAAAATTGTCCCATGAAAGAGGAGCTGGAGCATAAGGGCAGCCTTCAGCAGTGGAAACTGGACTATCACCGTTGTATCTTGCACAGGAAGAGCCCGGGAAGCAGCTGCAAGAGACTCTGGCGACAGGTTCAGTCCAGTTCATTCTCCTGAACGTGGGCAAGTGTAACACTTGCTCCCCTCCACGGTAGCCACCATTCACATTTGGGATCAATGGGGACATTTTTGACAAGGGACACATCCCCAGTCCATCTTACCTGTGCTGTCATCGTATACAACAGTGGCCGACCTCCACTTCAGGTACTGTACGAGGTCCAAGATGGCATGGCTGAGAGAGGCATAATCTGGGTAGAGATTGACATAGAAGGTGTCCTTATTGTCCAAAGGGTGATGCTTCCACCGCAGCTGTATGTGAGGAACCTCCAGTGCATTGCAAATGGACTGGACCGCGTTGGTGCATGAGCCCTGAGAAGGCCCAAAAATGGCTACAACGCCCAGGGCGAGTTGGTCACAAGCTGGGAAGAAAAGGATCAAGACTGTCAGCCAGAAAAAATTCCACTTGGTGAGTTGTCATTTTTTTCTGGATTAGAAAGCAATAAATGAAAAAGAAATGACTTTAAAGACTTACAAACTTCTGACAAAAAAACATAACAAGGAATTAAAGTAAGAAAGATTTTGACAGTTTAAAGGGGACAATTATTTTGAAAGGCTGTTTTTAGTGAAACTACTTTAGACCAAATTGTACTAAATTAAATTAGACAAAAGATTTGGATCCTCGTGGAAATGCTTTTTATTGTCAAAGAGTCCAGTGAGTGACTGATACAAAACAAAAGCATAATATAAGCCAGACTGTGATGTTGATTGTAACTATGGAGATGTGGATTGTAATATTGATTGCAACTTTGAAGTACCATTGAAGATAAAAGTATTAAAGGCACAAGAAGACTTCCCCCAAAATGGGAGGAAAGAAAAAAACAAAGGGGGACAAGATTGCTTTTACCTTTTCACTTGGGTGAGATTCTTTCATAATGGCAACTACTTGAAAAATTGCAAGAATGGAGGGGAGGAGGGAATTGTTAGAGCAACGTGCAGGAAGGAATTGCACCAGAATTTCTGCAGACTTTCTTTGAGCTCATGAGTAATACTGTAATTAGAAGCATGTGATACCAAACTGACAGCTTTTGAAAAAAGAATGGCTGAAAGCAGTGTTGGGATTCAGCCGGTTCACACCACTTCGGCAGAACCGGTAGTTAATTTTTTTGTTGCCCAGGCCCATAATGGACTTCCGGAAGCAACATCTACACAGAGAAGCGGTTGTTCACCTATTTGAATCCCACCCCTGGCTGAAAGACTTGTAAAGATGAAAGAAGAAATAAAACAAAAAGTTAATTAAGATGGAAAGCTCTGTACAACAAATTTCTGGTGAGATAAAACAAATGACAAAGGAAATTATATTGAGTAAAATAGAAGTCACAGACGGAGATTGGAAAGACAGACAAATTGGCTCTACTGAAATTGAAAGTGAAGGAATTTTGCTTGGGACGGCTTCTGGTGAAGATATTAGAGAAAAGATTATTAAAGTCTTGGCAATTTTTTGGATTTGGAAGAGTAGGATACAGAGGCAAAAACTGATGATATTTATAGAATAAATTCAAGATTTGAAAAAACAAGAAATGTTCCAAGGGATTTTTGGCTACACTTTGTCACTTCCCTTCCCCATTTCCCTACTATCTTTATTTTCATTTGTATTTATATTATGAAATTTAGTTAAAAATAAAAAATAAAAGCAAGATGACAAGGGATCAGATTTTGGAGCAGGATTTTAATATAAGATTAAGGATTGAAAATACAAATGTAACTGTTCTTAAAGAAATTTCTATCAGATTCTCAGAGTGATTGTTATGTTTAAACAGCAGAGGTTTAGATTGATTTCTGTCCATATGATGAGACAATTATATTCAAGGAAGAACTGAAGGAGATTCAAATGGAGCACTCAGAGGAGACCACACAAAGCAATCCATCAGAGAAGGAAACTGAAAAGGATGATACTAGCTGTTACTGGTATTGATTTTTTTTTTAAAAAAAAATTGGCTTGATTATGGATTACAAATGTCTTAATATGAATATAAATGGAGCAACTGCTCCTCAAAAGAGATAAAATATTCTTATTTTAAAAAATTGAAGCAAGATACAATCTGACTACAAGAGACACATATTAGAAAAAAGAATATAAAACATTTGATTTATTAAAAAATGGGTGAAAATTTTATTCCAGCAGAATAAAAAAAAACCTGGAAGATGTTTTATATATTATCCCCAACTAAAACCTGAACTTGTATTGGTGTTGACAGGGGATTGGAATGGAGTGATTTTCCATAACTGGATAGAACAGTGTTACTCAGCATGGGCTGCTTTAAGATGTGCAGATTTTAACTCCCAGAATTCTTTGCTTTGCTGGGGAATTTTGGGAGTTTGAAGTCCACACACATCTTAAAGTGGCCCAGGTTGAGAAACATTGGTGAATTTGTGAGAAAAAAGAGTAAAACCATTCAAGACAAATTGCCAACTTTTTTTAATTTAATGAACAGGCTTGGGCTGGTTGATATTTGCAACAGAAAAATGGCAACTCAAGAGAGTAGACCTACTTCCCAAAAGGACATAGATCCTTTTCAAAAATAGATATGATTTGCATTTCAAAGAACGTGTTTACTAAGGTTTCTAAAGTAGAGATATTACCAAAGACTTTTAATCCTGTAAATTTGGTTTATAAAAAGAAATCAAGTTCCTTTAGATAAAGGATTGAATGAAATACTGTTACACAAAGCAGTAGTGGAGGAATGTAAATTAAAATAATTTTTAAAGATAATTTGGGCAAAAGCACTATTTAGGAATGGTTTGGGATGCAAGCAAAACCTTTATCAGAGGTTATTTTATACAATATAATAGTGAACTCAAAAAGAAGAGTCAACAGAGAATATAAGCTATTTTGAATGAAAAAAAAAGAATTAAAGAAATTCCCAGAGAAGATTAATATTTCTCAATAGATTATGCTATTACAATGACAGTTATCTATGTTAACAGTAAGAGAAATGGAAAGAAAAATAAATTATGCAAAGCAATAAAACTGAATTTGCAAATAAACCAAGGAAGTAACTCGCATATAAATCATGAAAAAAAAGAAAAGAGAACGATGCTGAAATGATGAGGGATATTCAGTAATAATGTACAATGTGGCCATATAAAAATATTTTATCAATATTATTTTAACTATCATAAAGCAAAATACACAGAGAAAATACATGATCTAAAGAAACAAAATTTACCAAGGATTATAGAAGAACAGAGACAATTTATAAATGGACCTATAACAATAAGGGAAATTTCTGAAGCTATAAAAAAGATTAAATCAGGAAAGACCAGACTGATTATCAGGGGTTTACTATAAATGCTCTGAAGATGAACTTTTATAACCTCTACAAAACATGATGAATTCTATCTTAGAAAGAGAAAAGATGCCCGAGGGTTAGCAAGAAGCTAATATAGCACTAATACCTAAAGAGGTGTAAGATTCACCTTTTAACTACAGAAACTACAAACTGACACCCCTACTAGAACAATGACTGCAAGATCTTCACCATGATTTCAGTTGAAAGATTGAAAATAATTTTGCAAGAATTTATTCATGAGGATCAATGTGACTTTTTACCTAAAAGACAATTAAGGGACAATATGTGGAGCAACATAATGAAAAGCAAACTGAATTGATCTTCTTGGATGCAGAGAAGGCTGTTGACAATTTGAATGGGGCTTTCTTGTTTAAGATATTGAAAGACTTTGGAGAGAATTTTATTAAATGGGCGAGATCGATTTACACTTCACGGAAAGCACAAATCATTGTTAATGGAAGTCTAACAAAACTACGCAAGATACAAAAAAGGAACAAGACAAGGCCGTCCATTGTCTCTTCTCCTGTATATTCTAGTTCTTGAAATACTGAATAGACACATAAGAGGATGAGAGGATTGTGGGAGTAAAGATTTAAAAAGGAGCTTATAAACTAAGAGCTTTTGCAAATGACTTTATCTTGGTTTTGGACAATTCTTTAAAGAAACTTGAAATTTTAATGGGTAAATTAAAAGCATTTGGTGCATTATCAGGAAACAAGGATGTTAACAAAAAAATATAAAAATACAAGATACAACTGTCAGATCCAAAGATTAAACAGCAAAATCCAGTTGAGCCCAGTTCTTTATTTGCTTATTCTAATAGACAGAATCTTGCCAGATTAAGTTACTAGGTATGTCCTGAGACAGTGATGGCGAACCTTTTAGAGACCGAGTGCCCAACCCCCCCTGCCCCCCCACCGTCCCCGCCCTGCAGGCCACCCACCGTCTCCACGGCCTGCCGCAGATCACCCAGGTGGACCAGCAGCACCATGGTGGCCATGCCTTCTGCCCGTGCCCCGCAGGATCATCTGCATGTGATGGGGCGTGAGGGTGGTGTTTTGTCCCCACTGCCCAGCTGCCATGTCCTTGGCTGCGCTGTTCCACGTGGGCCACACCCAGGGGCAACTCTCCTCTAGGGGGGCTGCTGGTGAGGAGGGGGCCATGGGGGGAGGCGGGGCTGGGGCGACAGTGCACGTGCTCAGAGAGAGGGCTCTGAGTGCCGTCTTTGGCACGTGTGCCATAAGTTCGCCACCACTGTCCTGAGAGATTCAGCTGTGTGCCTACCCTGAATTTCTTTCTCCCTCTTCCATCCACCTGGGGATGGAGCAGGCTCTGATTCTGGACCTCTCTCTGGAATGTGTGTCCCCTTCTCGCTAGGAAGCTGCAGTGCAACTGATGAGATCTCCCCTCTTTCTCCAGCTGCACATTCCATCACATCACTGCCCTCCTCAAAATCATTCAGTCCCCCTCCCCAAGTTCTCAAGAGAGCTGGGCAGGGACAGCAGGGACGGCAGGGATGAAGTGTTGAACTTTCACGAGTCTGATGACCCTTCTAAGTCAAATGACTCGTCCTGAAAAACAGCTACAGGATTAGAAAAAAAAAACTGCTCCGCTTTTCCTTGGGAACTGAATGCTTGTGGCAGAAGACTGGGACATTCCAGCCTTGGTTTCATCTCGCCCTCGGCTCCCCTGTGACCAAACTCCCACTCCACTCCCAAACGCCTCCTCTTGCTTCGGAGCACCTGGTAAAAGTGGAGGAGCTGGAGAGGCCGATGAAATGTTGTAGGGTGGACCTGCCTTGTGTTCTCCCACGAACGAACGCTCTGTCTCTGGGGAGCCTTTCCATGTATCAAACACCAAATTCCATTTCCTCTCCTCCTTGAATCCAAAACTGCCTCCATCTCAGACTCCTCTCCCCCGTCCATAATCACTGGTGAGGGTGGTGGATGCCAGGACCACAGAGAACTGGGAGGCGGTTCCTTGACTAGCAAGGAGCAGTGAAAAAGAGGGTGGAGCGTCATCAAAATTCTGCAACTGCAAGTAAAAGGCTACTGGGTTCACCTGTTGCATGATGGTGAGAGGGGCCACAAGCTTGGAGTCCAACTTCTTTAATGGCTTGGCTGAGATTAATAGAAAGCCATAGTTTGTCCTCTCCTGAAATCACTGCCTATCAGCATCTGCTCTTTGCTTGTATGCTGTCTTTGCCCTGAGCAATTCTTCCTTTAATAGGTCACAGGCTGCTTGCTGTTCCTGCTGCGCTAGGAACAATTCCTTGTTGGATGGTTGTAGGCAAAACCCCTGGGAAGATTCCATACGTTGCTCGGAATGATGACAGGTCAATTGATGGCTCTGTATACACTCGTGCTCATTGGCTACAATCGGATGAAGGAAAGCTGAGATCAACCTAAGCAAGTTGTGCTTCCTTTTTCTGGTTATTTGGCTATAACTTTTCATAGAATACAGTGCAGATAATTGAACAAACTATGTTGCATTACATTCTTGATTAAATTATCTTTCCATTGATATATAATTTTATGGTGCTACTCCAAAAAAAAAGTGGTGTTATTAGCCATCAATACACTTTTCCCAAAAGGTTTCCACAATTTTGGCCACTACTGTAGCTATCCATTGAATAGTTTAGCCCAGGGGTCTCCAAACTTGGCCACTTTTAAGACTTGTGGACTTTCTCCAAATCACTTTCATAAAACCCTTCAAAGGCTGCCAAGGAAGAAAATTGATCCTCCACACTCACCTTTCTTAGTGGCTTCAAAGCTATCATGGAAGTGTATTCTCTGGATATCGTAGGTTAAGGTTGTGTTGGGCAACAAAGTCCTATTTCTGTTGATGATGTTGGCTGAGAATCGGAAGGCCTGTTCTTCGGCGTTCATTACCTGGGCGTTTGGGCCATCGGCATATTCAAAGATTCCCCCTGCAAGACAAGTAGAGACTGTTATGGCCACCTTCCAGTTCCAGCCAGGCCCAAGCTGAGATTGCAGTTCCAGAAGAAAAGAAAGTGTGAAGAAGATACGTGAAACCTCAAACAGTGCAGTAAAAAAAAAAACAATTTAATTTAATTTAATTATTTAATTGCTGCCCAGTGAACAATTATGACCACCAGTGGGCAAACAAGCAATGCGAAGGGGAGCAATTTGTGACTTCCTGCCGGCTTCCCCACTGACTACTGGGGGACCGTCAGGGATTGTTGGAAGTGAGGGTTGTAGAATCACAGCTGACTGTGGCAGCATTGCAACAGCAGTGAAGCAGCAGCAGTAACATGGAAACACTGAAGCACCCACAACTTCCCACATTTTATTCCTGTGAGTCATGGGCGATGGCGTTCTGTAAGTTAACCCATTTAAGTTACCTTGGTTCAATAATTGCTGCCCGATGTCTTTCAATTTCGCACAATGAAAGGTTACAAACAGACAGGAAAATTTCAGTAGTATATAGATAGTGTAAAATCTTTTCTTTGGTTCAAAAATGTAATTGCTCTGGATGTCGAATTTTCAAAAGAACACTTAAATTTTAAAACTTCCCTATTTCTATCTAAGTGTTTTCAATAGATAACCTGGAAGAAATTGCTGGCATCTTTTCTGATAAACAAGCTTTATTTTTAAAAAGCGAAAGCTTTTTTGAGCTGCAAATACACAGAACGGCTAAAGAGATCTGGATTTAAATTGGGAGGCTGGGGAAAGGGGGGGCAGGTTGCATATGCAAGAAAACAATCAAGCTCAGAGAGGATCAAGGACCCCACAGTTCAACCCCAAACTACAAATATTCTCTTCTATCAAGAGTAAGAAGTAATTTGTTTTCAATGAGGTCAACTGACAATTGGCCGTGGGTTGAAACTGGCAGGCAAATCAGGAAGCAATGATTCTTGGGCCAGGCAGAAGCACTGTCTGAATGTGGAACCAGGGCCTGCAATATGCAAACGGGGACGAGAACAGCTAAGGCTCCACTGACTTCAAAGGCAGGGGGGAAAAGGATCTAGGATTGAAAAGCTGCAAGTGAGGCATGGAGAGGCTGGAATGCATTTTCTGCAGGTGACACAGATCGTGGTTCTTCCTTGACTGCAATAAAGATACTAAATAAGGTGCATCGTATCTATGAACTTCTGCTCTCTAAATATCAGGTGGCAATTCTGGAGAGTCCATGCCTACTGCCATGGCCAGGGAAGCCTGCCCAATACTAGTTGTAAAAAAGCAAGATCCAAACTATAGCAATAAGCGGGGCTACGACTTGAATAAAGGAGGCAGTTAAGGAAAGCCAGCTATGAGATTCTTCAAGACATGGTGGGAAGAAGGTTCCAGCCGAGATTTCATTTTTGTCAGAACTAATACTAAGGATTAAGATAGTCTTAGATCCCGTCAAATCCTCAATGTTGGCTTGTTCTTTTCAAGCTCACCCTAATAGTTACACCTTTTTAATTTAGATTTAAAAAGCCAGGTTTCAGGGTTCCACAGTTCTTCTTAATGCAATGATAAATATTTAAGAAAATTGGCATATTATCTTACATCAGGGGTATCAAACTGCTGGCCCATGGGCCGGTTGCATCATACGGAGGCCGTGCCCATCCCAGCAATGCAAAAAAAGTCGCAATACATCACAACACGTTACTTGGCAAGTTTGATACCCATGTCTTACATACACTAAGATATGTTCTTGGTCTTACACTTGACTCAGGATTACTATTAATTATTGGATTGTATTTGTTATGAGTACTTCTATGCTGCTTCAGCTGAGCAATTCAAAATGGTATAAAATCATAGTAAATAACACCACACACATCTGAGATAGCTAATTATCACGTCCTTAATCCCTAGATATCTGCATAACAGCTTTCTTTAACAGCTTTCTCAATAGTAATAGTAAGGCTGCATGGTTTGCTTCTAATGATTTCAGAGGAAGGATACTCCACACATAATCTCCAAATCCCTACTTACATACCTCAAGGAGGGTGAGGACTCTTAAAACCTGCTCTTTGTTGGCCTGTCTTGGGCAGTCACAGTCTTCAAGAAACAAGCACTTTGACGGTTACTAAGCCATGTGGGATTTCATAGTTATTACTACCACCTTAAATTGCACCTAGAAAAAAATGACAACCAATGACACTCCTACAGTAGGAAGGTTATGTGGGTGTGACACAACGCTCTTGTTAGTATCTGGGCTGTCATATTCTGCACAGGTCTAGTTTCTTGGTGATCTTCAAGGCCAGTCTTACGTAGTGGGGACTTAAGATAGATCAACTGCAATGTAACCAGGATGGGAGTAATTATCCCAAGTGTCTCCTATCCTGTGAAAGTCATATTGGCACTCACCCTCACACACCAAACAAAATTATACAAAGGCCTTTCTGGTTACAACCTCCACCTACTAATTCAGCAGGAGCCATGACTCCAGAAAGACCCCCCAGATTATGAAACAGTTCCTTTGTGGGAAATTCAAGGATATTTAGAACTAAACCTGGAACCATTTTGGAATCAGTTGGCAATCCACATTGTTTTGTCTGGCTTAAGCTTCATCCTCATCCAAACCGTATAGAGTTCAGACCCTGGATCAAGATTTTCACTCTATCTTGCATTTGCTCTGGGATAGATATACTGTATAACTGGGGATCATCAGTTATATATCAGTTATCAGACGATTTTTACCACTGGCTTTATATAGATATTGAACAAATGAGAGAATTGAGCACCATAAAGTGGAGAGGGCATCGTAAAGTATGTTACATATTTTGTTACATGTTGTGAATAAATCACATATAAGTTATGAATGTAGATGGCCTGTAATACAACCTTTCATGAACTCACTGGGAAACTCACATTGCTGGAATGTGTGTAATACTGATAAGGAAAGATTCTGAGTGCCTGTATGAATGATTCATTGTTGGTGATACCAGGTAAAACATTAGTGGGTATAAGGAGTATAGTGGATTGCACTTTTCATGGAGTCTTGGAACAAAGCGTGAGGATGTAAAGTTCCTGATGTGGCTGGGGCAAGATGGATACACATGGATTCTATGTAAACAAGTTGGGCATAAAGAGAAAACTGGAATGAACCCAGACCCCGAAGTTTGAGATGACTTTTGCTGGAGCAGGGGACACTCCGAGTCTGCTTCCCAGCCCACTCTAACGCAGCCTGGCCACCTGTGTTGAGAGTCTTTGGGAGTATTGTGTGAATGAATAGCCTACTTGCGCAGCAATACTTACAGTAACTTGAGTAGCCTTTTTGGCCACAGGTGTTTGAGTAGCCTTGTTGGGCATAACTTATTGTAATAAGATAATTTTGAAATTAGACAAGTATATGTACGGAGTATATGTACAAGTATATGTTGAAACTCAAATACTTTGGCCATCTAATGAGAAGGAAGGACTCACTGGAGAAGGGCCTAATGTTGGGAAAGATTGAGGGCAATAGAAGAAGGGGACGACAGAGAATGAGACGGCTGGATGGAGTCACTGAAGCAGTAGGTGTGAACTTAAATGGACTCCAGAAGATGGTAGAGGACAGGAAGACCTGGAGGAACATTGTCCATGGGGTCGCGATGAGTCGGACACGAATTCGCAGTTAACAACAACAACATGTACGGAAATGTGTCTTAGATTTTAGGAGTGCTGATTTCAACAAACTTAGAACTTGGGATGGATTCCATGGATGAAAATCTTAAAGATCTTGTAGTCCAACCCCCTGCTTGAATAGGAGGCCTTATCCCATTCTGGACAAATGGCAGTCTCTTCTTGAAAACCTCCAGTGATGGAGGCAATACCCACAACTTTTGGAGGCAAGCCATTCCACTCTATAACTGTTCTCACTGTCAGGAATTTTCTCCTAAATTCTAGTTGGAGCTCAGATAAGCTTCCTTCTTGTTCTACTCTCAGGTGCTTTGGAGAATAGGTTGACCCCCCCCCTTCTCTGTGACAGTATAAAGGTGCTTCAAATTTATGTTGGAAATCTGAATAAGAAGGGACATTTTATCATGCTTGGTCAATATGTAAAAACCCAGAAAATCCTGGATTCAGATGCATACACTGATTCAGAGGATTGTAAAGCTTAATATAGAATTGAAACCAGAGGCTTTTCTTTGGGGACTGATAGACAGACTGCTGGGAAAAGGGCATGAAACGCTTGTTTCTAAACATGATAAGTGCAGCAAAATCATTGCATGCACAAAGATGAAAACATCTGGTATCACCCACAATGGAGAAACATTTGGTGAAGGTGAAGGAGCTGAGATACGCAGATTAACTTCTTTGACCAGAAAATGTTGACTGGATACCCTTTGTAGCCTGTTTTGCATGAAACAGGAAAAAAATGAACTTATGATTCATGTTTTGATGAATAGATAGATTATAGAAGGAAGAGAAATGTAACAATAGAGTTAAGAGGTAAATTTATAACTGTATTGTATTCGGCATCTGCTGTAAAGAAAACAGAAAGCTACTTCTTGGTATCTTTTCTCTCTCTTCTATTTTTCTTGTTTTCTGTTCTCGTACTTTTAGCTTTCTCTTTGATTTCTTTCTTTTCTTTTTCTCACTTGGTATTTTTAATCTTTTTAAACAGTCTTTAATACACACACACAAACAGAGAGAGAGAAGGAGAGGAAGAAAGCTGAACAATAACCCAAGGAAAATGGAACTGCATCAGAATATACCAGCCAGCCCAACAATAAAGCAATTGCTTTCTAAATGGGAACCCTCCAAACAAATTACAGGAAGAGAAATGTAATGGCAAGAACATCAAAAGAATGGACATTCTAAATACATTTTGTAATGGTGGAGCTGGAAAATGCCATTAAGCTTATGAAGTCTATCGAAGCGTCTGGCTCGAGTGACATTCAGACTGAGCTAATCAAGCACCTTGGAACGGCTCTTGAAATTCTGCCATCGCCTTCCAAAGAGAGGCCAGCCCCTTCACTCTGGAAGAGTCCTT